GGGATGAATCATAAATTTAATTACATTCACCAGAGGTTCTTTCAGCCCCCGTTCTCCTTAGAAGTGTTACCTTGAAACAAATAGAAAATGAGTGTTTCGCCGACCAGCTCATCTGCTGTAATACTGTCTGCTTCCAATCTCATGCAAAGACATGTGTCTGTTCCTGCAGACACCATAAATTACTTGAACTTCTGGCAAGAGGAGCACTTTCACATTTTTAAAATTTGCCCTCCAGACTTTGGCTATGGCCTGAAAATGGGAAAGCGGCCTGCTGTTTCCCTTCTGATTTTATATTTAGTTAGCACCCAAGAATGTCAAAAGTAGAATGGACAAATATTATGTTACTTTTCTGGGATTAAAAAAGAGAATGGTGCTGTGGGAAACGCACTGAGGTTGAATTGCCCCCACAAAAGTCTGGTTTGCCTCTGGTATGCCTTATCAGACCATGAGATGATATAATAATAATAATAATAATAATAATAATAATAATAATAATACGGAGGACCTGATTCTGGCAGCCCAAGAACAAGCCATTCGAACCAATGCCATCAAAGCCAGAATTGAAAAGTCGACAACAGATCCCAAGTGTAGACTCTGCAAGGAAGCAGATGAAACAAGAGATCCCATCCTCAGCTGCTGCAAGAAGATCGCGCAGACAGACTACAAGCAGAGGCACAACACCATTGCTCAGATGATTCATTGGAACTTGTGCCACAAATACCATCTGCCTGCGAAAAAGAATTGATGGAATCACAAGCCAGAAAAAGTTACAGAGAATGAACACGTCAAACTCCTCTGGGACTTCCGGATTCAGATAGACAGAGTTTTGGAGCATAATACTCCTGACCTCACAATCGTGTTAAAAAACAAAGTATGGATGTCGATGTCGCAATCCCAGGTGACAGCAGGATTGCAGAGAAAACAACTGGAAAAGCTGACACTATATGAGGATTTAAAGATCGAACTGCAAAGACTCTGGCACAAGCCAGTCAAGGTGGTCCCAGTGGTGATCGGCACACTGGGTGCAGTGCCTAAAGACCTTGGCCTGCACTTAAACACAATCGGCGCTGACAAAATTACCATCTGCCAGCTGCAAAAGGCCACCTTACTGGGATCTGCACGCATTATTCGCCGATACATCACACAGTCCTAGACACTTGGGAAGTGTCCAACGTGTGATCCAATACAACAGCCAGCAGAGTGTCTGCTGTGGACTCATCTTGTTGTGTTTCAAATAATAATAATAATTTATATCCCACTTTATCTCTCCCACAGGAGACTAAAGAACCTCTCTGAAACCTCACATACAAAAATACTCAAACTAAGAGTGTACTGGCAATTTTTGAACATTGTGCCAAAGGGCATAATGCCAGGGCTTCTGGTGAGTCCTGGACTCAACTTGAAACCATGCATTGTTTGCAAAGTGCAAGAGCAAGGCTTCTCTCAACAAAATAAACAAACCACAAAACAATATAAAAAGCCTCTTGAGTAACACTTCCCTCCTTGCCCCTTCCAACCAATCCTGAAAAATTGCAAACCTTGGGCTTGAAGGCAATGATCTTCAAGACCATCTCAACAGTGAAGAGGCCCGTGAAGACCATGTTGAGCAGGTCCATGACATAGTTGAAGGGCTGAGATTGTTCATAATGCTGGAAAAGGAGAAAAGCACAAAATAAAATTGAAAGTAAATTAATATATTTTGGGCAGTCTTGTGCTATGATCCCTTGTGAATCGGTCTACAAGAAGAGCCAACCCAACTCAGCTCTCTTTGTTCTATGTGGACCCTCTCATCATTCCACAGCCTGTATGGATGGCAAAACAATGAGAGGCCCTCTGTTTTGCTCCTTGTAAAATACAGCTAATGTGCAAGGTCAGATGGTTTGTACTGAAGGCTTTGGGCATGTCCCCAATGAACCCTTCTGTGTCTTCATAATTTCTTTTCTAACCTGGTGCTATGTCCCACATAGACCCCCACAGCTTCCCTGCCTGCCCCGCCCCTCCCAGTATAAACATTTTCTTTGCAGTGTTGAATATTAGCCCAGTGTTGAATATCTTTAGCATACTGGTCCCTATCACTTATGCTTTCTTTAGGGGGAACTCTAATGCTGAAAAGTGATGTGCAGTTACTAGGAAGGCATTTTTGGATGCAAAAGATCCTGAAAAGTGTAATTTGTGCAGTTACTAGGAAGGTATTTTTGGATGCAAGAGATCCTGTCATCATCTTCCCCATCCCCACCTGATGGGTGACTCTGCTGTCCATCATGGAACTGCCCGCCTTTTTCTCATAGCACATCCAATGTTTTAATTATAGTGTATTTGTTAAATTCCTTGAGCCTCAGTTTTCCAGAGAAAGTGAGATTGTTAACATGTCATTATACATAATTATAATAAATGAATAAATAAAAATAAATATAAATAAAAATTTAATGTTCGTTTGTGGGATTAACATAACTCAAAAACCACTGGACGAATTGACACCAATTTTGGACACAAGACACCTATCAGGCCAACAGGTGACCATCACTCAAAAAAATTGATTTTGTCATTTGGGAGTTGTAGTTTATGGGATTTATAGTTAACCTACAATCAAAGAACATTCTGAACTCCACTAATGATGGAATTGAACCAAATGTGGCACACAAAACTCCCATGACCAACAGAAAACACTAGAAGGGTTTGGTGGGCATTGACCTTGAGTTTGAGAGTTGTAGTTCACCTCCATCCAGAGAGCACTGTGGACTCAAACAATGATGGATCTGGACCAAACTTGGCACAAATATTCCATATGCCCAAATATGAACACAAATGGAGTTTGGGGGAAATAGACCTTGACATTTGGAAGTTGTAGTTATTGGGATTTATAGTTCACCTACAATCAAAGAACATTCTGAACCCCACGAATGACAGAATTTGGGCAAACTTCCCATACAGAACCCCCATGACCAACAGAAAATACTTAAGGCCATCGAGTCCAACTCCCTTCACCAGGGCAAGAAAATGTAATCAAAGCCCTCCTGACAAAGAGCCATCTAGTCACAGATACAGATAGATATATATGATTCACACATACACAGATGTAGTATCCTAGATTTGAAAGGAACCCTTAAAGAAGGACTATGATATGTTGCCTGTTCCAGAGTAGGAAAACCAGACAATCTTTACATCAACACTGACAAAGAAACAGCAAGAAATACTGTTTACCCACAAGCATAAAGAAATTACATATATTAAAAATCAACACTTTCTCGTTACTTTATTTTCCAGATCACCAGACTGGGCCACAGCAACGCGTGGCAGGGGAAGGCTAGTAAATAATAAGAATTTTGGTCCCTAGTGGTTAGAGAAGCAATAGGCAATATTTTAAATAAATAAATAAATAAATAAATAAATAAATAAAAGCATCAGTTTTTGAAGTGGCTTCCAAAGTAATTGCAAGCACAATATTTCTTTATAATCAAAGTGGCAGGATCTTGTCTTATTCACATGTCATCTGGAACTGAGGCTTATATAGGTCTAAAGGGCCTTTTTTACAGCAAAAGGAATATATGGATGAAATATGTTGACTCCCGCCTTCTCTCTTTCTCTCTTTTTTTATCTTCCTCTTATATACTTCCAGGCTTCTTTGCTTTCCATATCAGTACCAAGATGAGGTAATTGAAGAAGTGGCATTTAGTCTTCCAAGATTCAGTTCTCCTTCATCCACATATTCCTTCATTGTGAAAATCAGACCTTGCAACATACCTTCAGCCATCCATAGAGAAAGAACAAACTGGGCTATCCCATCCCATTGGGACTTTGTTGTCCTCCATTAACAGCCTTGCCCCTCCTGTCCTCACCCAACAGGCTAGCCCCTTCTCACTTCTCTTTCAACCATGCTCACCTGTACAGCCAGTGCAATGGTGTTGAGCAAGATGAGCACAAACATGATGTACTCAAAGCCAGTGGAGTTGACCATGTACCAGAATTTATACTGGTATTTGTTCTTGGGGATGTAGCGCCGTAAAGGCTGGGCTTTCAAGGCATATTCCACACACTGCCGCTGTGGAAAGAAGGAAGAAAAAACATTTAGAGGTAGGGAAAAACGCAAAAGTTCTCAATTTGATTACTAACTTCTTTAAGGAAAACCTTTCACTAACATCTTTTCAATGTCACAGAAAGAAGATGACCCCAGCAACCTTCATGGAATACACAATGGCAGGATTAGCTCTTGAAGCCTTTGAGAGATCCTGCAGCCCACTCAAAAATTGGCATCCATGCCAAGATCCTGGTAGCTCAGGGCTGCTACTGCCACTTCCATTTCAATGACAGTTCCCCAAACTTCATTCCTTCCACAGCACAATAACCACTGTCTGAACTCCTGAATCACCTGCACCCATTCTTTCATTATTCTCAGATGTCTTGGAAAACTCCCTAATCTGAGACAGGAACTTCTGGCACATGAAATGGTAGTGCAAGAACAACTTAGTCTAATGATAGGGAGGATTGGAAGCAGTACAGAGCAAATTACTAGTTGTGCAGCAGATGCCAAAATCACACTCCACATCTGATACATCTAAGGAAAATATTTCTAGCACTTGTTCAACTGTACTCCGCCCTATATATTATTGTTACTAAGATTTGATTGCCAGTGTTTTTTTATTATCACAGTATGATCTGACAGAAGTGGCAAGCATCCCAGTAGTATTTGGGAGAGGAATAAGAGCTGTTTTTTGAACTGCAAACTGAATAATTTGTAGTTTCATATGTGGTGGCATTGTGAGAAGGCAAGAACATACTGGATTTTTTTTTATACAAATAACGTTATAAAAGATACGAAATATAAAAATCCCTATCAAACCAGAAACATTGACCAGAAGTTAAATAAGAATACAGATAAATTATTATTTTTTTGAAATATGGTAGCAAGAATCTGCTATGAAAGATTCTGGAAAAGGAAGAGATCCCAGAAGAAGAGGCTTGGATAGAGAAAATTGAAGATATTAGAAACATGGACACATTAACATATTTAATAGGAGCCCCCGGTGGCGCAGTGGGTTAAACCCCTGTGCCGGCAGAACTGAAGACCAACAGGTCGTAGGTTCGAAGCCAGGGAGAGGCGGATGAGCTCCCTCTGTCAGCTTCAGTTCCTCATGCAGGGACATGAGAGAAGCCTCTCACAAGGATGATAAAACATCAAAACATCCGGGCGTCCCTTGGGCAACATCCTTGCAGACGGCCAATTCTCTCACACCAGAAGCTACTTGCAGTTTCTCAAGTCGCTCCTGACACAACAATATATATATATATATTTAATATCTAAAAATAAGGGGACCTCGATAAAAGTAACAGACTGGTCAAAGGTTACAGACTATTTAAGATCGAAAAACAGAGATGTACTAATATAGAAGAAAGGAGAAGAGGAAGGAAAAGGAGAAAGGAAAGAACAGAACAGAAAAAGAAATCGAAGAAAAGAAGACAAGAGACAGACAAGGAAGAACCCACTCTGAAGATACCCATGGAAGTCAACAAACAACTTTTTAAACTATCTCTCTCTCTCTCTCTCTCTCTCTCTCTATATATATATATATATCCTTTTTTTGCCCTCCTTCCTTTTTCTTCTGCTTTCTTTTAACAAAATTCTTAATAAAGATTATTTTAAAAAACTAAATAATTTGTACTCTCATAAAATAAAAGACACAGTGGCCATCCTCTTCAGAGGTGTCAGGATACGTAAAACAAGAACTGTCAATATTGCAGGCAAAAAATAGAGGAAAGATGGTGTGGTGAATTTTAATCTACTGTTATGTATAGTTATAAATAGGCATTTGAAAGGGTAAGTATTTAAAGTTGCATAACTGGGGGGTGGGGGGGGGGTGGTAGCCAGCTCAGCTCACTTTGAGCTGGGTTGCTATGGAAATAGGGGTGGAGCCAACTGCCACTTGGCAGGGCTGCCATTTTAAAATGGTCAGTCTGTAGTCTGTGAACTACAGGAGTGGCTGGTTTTGTAGTAGTGAGAACCAGGAAGGTAATCTGTAGTTTAAAAACTACAGGGAAAGGCTGATTCTACTGTAGTGAGAATCAGGAAGGTTTTGGATTTTAGCCTAGGTAGTTTAGATAAGTTGTGTTGACTTATGTATAGTAGTAGTTAGTGTATGAGTAGAAAGGGTGAGAGAAACCCAGGTAGAATCTTTATTGCAACATAAATATCACCAAGAAAGAATAAGCTTGTATCTGAAATAATCTATTAAGGAAAGAAACACAGTTTGAAGAGAAATAAGTTTGAAACCTGTTTAGTAGAAAGAAGAGTCCTTTCAAGAGTTGTTTTAAGGAATGTTATAAATGTAACCTCTGAAGATATGTGCCTCTAAGAGTCAAGAAACATTGAAACCACCAAGCTTCTGCTACATTTCAATAAACTTGTTACAGTTCTTATAAAGCCCGGTCTCTGTTACAAATTCTTTCCAAGTTAAGTCATGCTACACCCTGAAGAAAGACCAATTCAATATTATTAGCTATTAGCTACATTATCAATTTAATAAGGCCTTACAAACTGGTGGCTTCTTCTTTACAAATTGGTGGCTTCTTTACAGATGGGAATTTAATTCCCATTGAAGCTAGTCAGATGTGTTACTTAACTGTTGAAATTAATAAATTAATTTGGAAGCAAATTGTTGTTCTTCTGGGCGAAGGAAATAAATGTAAATACATTATTTTCATTAACATAGAACAATAAGTGGCAGTGGGCAAGATACCTGGTTCTTGTCCAGCTCACAGTTCTTGTATTCCTGTTCTCCTTGGGCCCGGAAGGTGATGATGACAAAGCCCACAAAGATATTCATCATGAAGAAGGCAATGATGATGATATAGATGATGAAGAAGATGGAGATTTCGACCCGGTAGTTGTAGATGGGCCCCTCATTTTCAGCATTGGCATCAATGGCCTTGTACAGGAGCCTGGCATGGGCAAGGTGGCAAACAGAGGGTTGGTTAAACAGAAAACACAGTGGAGGCACTTGATAGAGGAACAGGCCTTCCATAGTAAAAAATGTGACCCATTTCATTGAAATATTTTAATACATAAGATATTTAGAAATATTTCAATACATAAATAAAATACTTCTAACAACCATATTTTAAGAGAAAGAGGACACCATGTTGGAGAGCCTCCACAAGACATCTGCCAGCCAGTGCTTTTCCAAATGCTGAGCTATGGGGATCTTGCAGGGTCACTGGCATGAGGACCCAGAGCAAAGGAAAGTGATCTACTGACCTAAAAGCCAAAACTATCATCTCAGCTGTGGCTTGGTGTAGGGGACTGGCCAAGTCAAATACAGCACTCACTATTTATGGAAGTACATCTCCATAATTCCTTGAAACAGTGTATGGAGTTGCAAATGTTTTCTCCATTTATGGGAATGGACAGGAACAGGCAACATGGCTGCAATACTTCCCACACTTTCTAAGGCTATGACTCTTCAGGCAGAATACCTGAAGGATTCATCAAATCCTAGAACCTTGGAAGTGATGGTATTAGATAACCAGTTTAATTAGCATGGCAATTTTATAGACTCAAAAAATCTGGGTAGGTATAAAGCAGATGGAAAGAGAATGAGAAAGTAGAATTATCTTTTGGTTTTTAATTCTCCCCTCCCCCTGACATACACGTAAACAAATCCATCCATCTTTTCAGAGCAGAAAAAGACCCAGAAATAAATCCCACACAACACCTTGAACATGACTAAGACCTGTCATACTTATAAACATAAATATGTACAAGGTGGAAAAAGATGAAATAGGAATATGGGAATGGAGAACGCTAGGACAGGATGTTTCTCAAGCATATCGCACATCTACACACAGATCACATACAACCCTCATTACTGTAACTCACGCTGGCCAGCCTTCAAAGGTGGAGACAGTGAAGAGGGCCATCATGCCTGACAGGACATTGTCAAAGTTGAAGTCACTGTTGAGCCAGAGGCGGTCACGGACCATTGGGTGAGCCACATCTCCATCTTTGTATACAATGAATGTACCTCTGAAAATGTTAGAGGTCGGTGGGAAGAAGAGCAAGGACAAATAAGATCAGGTAAGAAGAAGGCACTGGCAAACCATCTCTGAGTACTCCTTACTTAAGAAAGCCTTACAAAATTCATGGGGCCACCATAAGTCAATAGGTGACTTGAACGCAAATACAACAATTAAAAACTCACCTTTTTACCTGAGAGAACATCTCTCTAGGAATCTCTAAGTACTCCAATGTAACTCTATGGTCACTTTCTGCCTAAAGTTGAACATAGATTTGTATTGGAGGACCCAGAGATTCAATCGTCTTCAGGCTGAGAGGGGTGGTATACAAATATAATAAGTAAATAAATGATCAGATTTCCAAAAATTAATATGGAGGGCTGACTGTAATTCAAATTCCAGCATCTAACTTCTCAAATCTTTTACAAGTATTTGTGGGAGCCAGTCACATTAGTGCTGTTAAAACAATGACATGTGCAGTATTTTTCCATTCCTATTTCATCAGAATAGGCACTAAAATGAATACCAATGCAACAACAGAATGGTAAACAATAATGACAACAACAAAATCCAGAAAGGAGTTGATCTTAACCAAATAGATTAATTGTGTGGCTGCATTTTCAGAAAAATGGCTACAAAAGTGAATTTTGGTGGTAATTTGAATAGTGTAGGTAGCTACACTATTCAATAACTGCTGTATTGTTGGTAAGGATGCTTGATACTTACTTGCACTCATTTGGGGTGTGCTTGGCCTCATCCGTGCAGCTGTAGAATTTGCCCTAGAGACAATAGGAAGAGGAGACTGGAGATCAGATAGTGATGGGAAAGGAGATATCATCTCTTGAGGAAAACATCTGTGCTGCTATGATAGTATTTATTTATTTATTTAGGACTTTTATATCCTGTCCTTTCTCAACCTCCGCAGAGGGACTCAGGACGGCTAACAAAGTGGCACCCCATGGCGCCCACATCAAAACATAAATATACAATTAACAGCAATATAATAATAACAACAATATAAACAGTATAAACAGTATAAAATCATACAAACAATACATATAATATATATAATATTTATTTATTTGATCAGTCATATGACCATTTCAAAATAAAACACGAGTAAAATCATACAAACAATATATATAATACAAACAATATAAAAACAATATAAAAACAGACAACAAATAGTCAGTGGTCACCAATTTAAATCATTATCCAAGGGCAGTCCATCAGTTCTAAATAAGTTAACACGTCAGTGGGTCAGCCTATTCTCCAAAGGCCTGATCCCATAGCCAGGATTTTACTTGTTTCCGGAAGGGCAAAAGGGATGCAGCAGATCTAATTCCACTCAGGAGGGAGTTCCATAGTCGGGGGGCCACCACAGAAAAGGCCCTGTCCCTTGTCCCCGCCAGATGTGATTGTGACAATGGGGGGACAATGAGCAGGGTCTCCTCTGATGATCTTAGGGCCCTAGGTGGATCGTAGCAGGAGATACGTTCGGACAATGTCCCTGCTGATAGCTGGGGGAGACTTTGTAAGCCAGGGCACAAAGGAAGGAGGCAGATCAGTCTTTCCATCAAATCAAAGACACACTTTTATGCATGCTATACTGTGGCACATACTTTTATTATTTATCAAAAGGTAGGTAAAAAGGTAGTCCCCTGACATTAAGTCCAGTCATGTCTGACTCTGGGGTGTGGTGCTCATCTCCATTTCTAAGCCGAAGAGCCAGCGTTGTCCCTAGACACCTCCAAGGTCATGTAGCTGGCATGACTGCATGGAGCGCCGTTACCTTCCCGCCGGTACCTATTGATCTACTCACATTTGCATGTTTTCAAACTGCTAGGTTGGCAGAAGCTAGAGCTGACAGCGGAAGCTCACGCCGCTCCCCGGAATCGAACCTACGACCTTTCTATCAACAAGCTCAGCAGCTCAGTGCTTTAACCCACTGCGCCACCGGGGGCTCCTTATCAAAAGGTAGAGCTAGATATTATGCTAGACATGAGGCTGCTACTTAGAATGGTAGTCCTGGTTGGAGCTGCCCTCCTTCTCTCTGTAATGTTTAAGATACATATCGACCATGACCAATGTATGTATCATATCATACATTTCCTCACATGATGTCACTGAGCTATGTTAATAGAAAAACAAGGAAAGAACATGCAAAATTCAAACACCATGTCTCCTTGCGGCTTTTATACTTCACCTTCGCTCTACCTATTTCCAGACTTGTTTATCTTTGTATCAGCCTCTCTCTTTGTCTCTGTCCATCTTTCCCTTATTCTGTGTCCTTGAAAAAGATCTTTTTCAAGGACACATGATTTCTTGAAGCACCACAATGATAGGAAAGCAATCATAATTGTAGTAAGAGTGGACAGCAAGTTTTCTGCAAAAGTGGATGGGCACATATAGCCAAGATTATGACTCAAGGAATACTGGTCACTCAGTTGTTGCACTGATCTTTCTTCAGCCATCCACAAAAGCATGGTGAGGAGGATGGAAAGCTGTGCCAAAGTAGTGGATTCAGATACCTTCAGCACAAGCACCCCTCACAAAAACATTGACAGTAGGGTGGCAGCCCTCTTAAGAGTGGCTCCAATTATCTCAAGCAGAGAACAAACTCACACTAGAAAGAGAAAGACACAATGATCTAGCACAGTGGTTCTCAACCTTCCTAATGCCATGACCCCTTAGTGCAGTTCCTCATGTTGTGGTGACCCCCAACCATAACATTATTTTTGTTGCTACTTCATAACTGTAATTTTGCAAATGTTATGAATCGTAATGTAAATATCTGATATGTAGGATATATTTTCATTCATTGGACCAAATTTTGCACAAATGCCCAATATGCCCAAATTTGATTACTGGTGGGGTTGAGGGGATTGATTTTGTCATTTGGGAGTTGTAGTTGCTTGGATTTAAAGTTCACTTACAATCAAATTACATTCTGAACACCACCAGTAATAGAATTGAACCAAACTTGGCACACAGAACTGGGAGGGTCTGGTGGACATTGACCTTGAGTTTTTGGAGTGGTCGTCCACCTACATCCAGAGAGCATTGTGGACTCAAACAATGATGGATCTGGACCAAACATGGCATAAATACTCAATATGCCCAAATGTGAACACCGGAGGAGTTTGGGGAAAATAGACCTTCATATTTCGGAGTTGTAGTTGCTTGGATTTATAGTTCACCCACAATGAAATAACATTCTGAACCCCATCAACGATAGAATTGGACCAAATTTCCCACACAGAACCCCCATGACCAACAAAAAATACTATGTTTTCTGATGCTCTTTGGCGACCCCGCTGACACTCCCTTGTGACCCCCACAGGGGTCCCAACCCCCAGGTTCAGAAACACTGATCTAGCAAATAAATTAATCACCATATATAGGAGACTTCTGCTCTGACTTAGATAACACTCAACAGCATTTTCCAGAAATATGTTGCTTTGCTGACACAAAATGAGAGGGATCCCTAAACTCCCTGTTATTTTGGGAATAAAAAACCTTATGTTAGGATGGAACCCATATATGTGTTGCACAGGAAGATGATCAAGAACAAGTTATGGCATCCTGCAGGGAGCCCATTTGACATGAAACATATTAAGATGTGTATATATTTATGAGTAACTAGCCGCCTCCTGCCACGTGTTGCTGTGGCCCAGTCTAGTGATTTGGAAAATAAAGTAATGAGAAAGTGTCAGTTTCTAATATATATAATTTCTTGATGCTTGTGGGTAAACAGTATTTCTTGCTGTTTTTTTGTCAGTGTTGATGTGGAGATGGTGGTTTGCCTACTCTGGAGCATGCGACATATTATTGTCCTTCTTTAGGGGTCCCTTTCAAATCTATGATACTATATCTGTGCGTGTGTAAATCATATATACCTATCTATATCTATGGCTGGATGGCTCTTTGTCAGGAGGGCTTTGATTATGTTTTCTTGCCCTGGTGAAGGGAGTTGGACTGGCTGGTCTTAAGCATGGGGGTTCTGTATGGGAAGTTTGTCCCAATTATGTCATTGGTGGGGTTCAGCATGCTCTTTGATTGTAGGTGAACTATAAATCCCAGTAACTACAACTCCCAAATGTCAAGGTCTATTTCCCACAAACTCCATCTGTGTTCAGATTTGGGCATATGGAATATTCATGCCAAGTTTGGTCCAGATCCATCATTGTTTCAGTACAATTCCCAAACTCAAGATCAATGCCCACCAAACCCTTCTAGTGTTTTCTGTTGGTCATGGGAGTCTTCTGTGTCAAGTTTGGTTCAATTCCATCATTGGTAGAGCTCTGAATGCTCTTCGATTGTAAGTAAACTATAAATCCCAGCAACTACAACTCCCAAATGACAAAATATTTTTTTGATTGATGGTCACTCCTTGGGTTGTTAGGTGTCTTGTGGCTAAATTTGGTGGCAATTCGCCCAGTGGTTTTTGAGTTCTGTTAAATGAACATTGCATTTTTATTTATATAGATTCACCCATGATGTGTTTACTGCCATGTCTTTGTACATATACTTCTTCTAACTTCCTTAATCTTGTGTTTTTCTTTGTGACGGCTTGAATTGAAACAAATAAACTAACTGACTGGTATTTAGAGTGAGGTCTGGAATAGGTTGCTAGGAAACATGGGCAGCACATGCCCCCAAGAAGCAATATAAGAGCTGCTGAACGATGGAAGTCTTTGCCTCGGAGTGTAGTAGAAGCTAATGTGGAGGCTTTTAAGTTGGATGAACATCTGTCAAGGGTATTTTGATTGTGTTGTCTTGCATAGCAGTGGGTTGGACCGGATAGCCCATGTGGTCTCTTCCAATTCTATGATTCTATGATTCTATGACTCATACTTCATGAATATATTCACTCTGAACATGCCCTTAATACAAACACACACATCCGGTATGGAAACTTAATCTGATCCATCCCATAGAAATGCTTGCACCTTACCTTGAAAAGCTGGACACCTATACAAGCAAACATGAACTGTAGCAGGGTAGTGACTATCATGATGTTGCCGATAGTGCGAATAGCGACAAATACGCACTGTACCACATGCTGATGAGAAAAAAGGACATGAGTTAATCATCAGGGAAATATCCCAGCCTTCAATATTAAAGATGAGAGATGAAAAAGGCCAGAAGACCCATATCCCCATAGCCCATATATTGTAGGAAGGGAGACTTAGACCCCTTTCAGTTCAGCAACCTCAAAATCTGTCCAACAAGCATGTGGACAATTTCAACAGAAAGGAGGAAACCATGAAAATGAACAAAATCTGGCTACCAGTTTTAAAAAATTCTAAAATTACAACAGCACAACAGCAGAGAGGAAACACACAAGGACATCTAATCACCTCTCAACAAAAGTTTGCTCCAGGCACTGCCAGGCAATCAAATGCTAATCAAGGTGATCAGTTGAAACATTCACACCTTGCTCCAGCAGACAAGAGTCCTTTGTCTCACTCTGGTCATTCCACAGATATATAAACCCTTTTTCCTAGTTCCAACAGACCTCACTACCTCTGAGGATGCTTGCCATAGATGCAGGTGAAAAGTCATGCCTCAAGACCATGGGCTATATGGCCATGCCTCAAGACCATGGCTATATAGCCCCCCAAAAAAACTACAACAACCCAACCTCAACATCTGTCCTTCAAATAAGTCCCTCACCTTGAGGCCCTTGGCCCGGTTGATGGCTCGGAGAGGACGAAGCACTCTCAGCACTCGCAAGATCTTCACCACAGAAATGGCACTCGAGCTGAAGTAGAGACAGAAAAAAAGGCATCAATGGTGCTGGATCAAGACCAAACTTCTTTTTCTATGACTTGAGATAGGAAATAATCTAACTTTGCCTTTTCATTCTGGAACAAAATGATATAATTCATTTCCAATTCTTCTTTTAGCGCCTACCCCCACTATTTTGCCCATTCCCCTCTCAGACTTACTGGATACCGAAGGAGATGAGTGAGACACTGACAACCAGGAGATCGAGAAGATTAAACCAGTTTCGGCAGAATGAGCCCTGGTGCAGGAAACCACCATAAGCAGTCATCTAAGGAAATAAATGTGCTAAGTGCCCCATGCAAAAGAACAAGTTCCATGACTTTCTCAAAGCCACAACTCTATCAAAAATGCTAGGAGACTACAGATTACCTCATAACATGGACCGATTTACCCAATATACAATGCTTCTTCTCCTCTTTTGCCATGGAGCCCATTACACGATGCACAGGGACTTCTGGCTGGGTTGTGTGGTAAAAGAGGAGAGGAAGCAGCACACACCACCACTACGACAACACAGGAGGCTTCTTGTGTTCCTTTTGGAACAATGTAGGGAGTGGGGAGAAGCTGGGTAGCGATGAGGGTCCAGGTAAGGCAGGCAATGCGAGGCATGGAGTGACGGGTTCTCCACACACCCCACCGGGTCCCCATGGATTTGCCACAATGCATGGCGAATCCTCATTCTAATGTGATAAGGATCTCCAGTTGCTCCATTTTGACCAAGTGGATCTGCTCCTCCTATTTATCTTTAGTTATATTCAAGAGGCAGGGCTGTCACAAGTACATTCAAAAGTCAGGATGTATGAGTCTTACAAAGCTGGATGAGAAGTACACATCTGCATAGATAGATAGATAGATAGATAGATAGATAGATAGATAGATAGATAGATAGATAGATCAAGATACAGAGGAAGAGGGAACAAACCAAGATAGAATAGATAGAATAGAATAGAATAGAATAGATAGATAGATAGATAGATAGATAGACAGACAGACAAATCAAGATACAGAGGAAGAGGGAACAAACAAAGATGGAACAGATAGATAGAAAGAAAGACAGATAGATAGATAGATAGATAGATAGATAGATAGATAGATAGATAGATAGATAGAAAGATAGAGGAAGAGGGAACAAAGATAGACTACATAGATAGAATCAGCCACTTATTCAAGGACTACTCAAGATGCTTTGCCTGTCCATGATTAATAGCTGTCCATATATCACAGTTTCAAAGAAAAAAGGTGTAAACTTCAGCTTCCTGACACTGTATTTTCTTCTCTTTTAAACAATTATCATACTTCAGAAGCTCAGCATGGTGTAGTGTTGGATTGAGTTTGAGCGTTGGATTACAACTTGGAGCATTGGATTACAACTTTTATTACCTGCTTGACCATAGAAACCCACTGGCTGACTTTGGGGAAGTTACACATTCTCTGGTCGTCCTAGAATGGGGCCACCAGAAGTTGGAAACAACTTGAAGGAATGCAGCAGCAACAGACCATACTTCTAGTCCTCAGGGATGCCAAGACACGTGTCTCTGTGCGTGAACAATCTCTATGTATTCTCAGGAAGTACAGAGATGGACTAAACAAACTTTCTAGTGGCCAGATAAGGATTTAAGTCTCCTGACTAAATCTCGGTCATTATCAATCACAAACAAAATCAGAGTACCATATAAAGTATAAGACTACTTTTTAACCCAAGAAAATCTTCTCAAAAATCAGGGGTTGTCTTATACGTGGGAGTTGTCTTATACACGGGGGTCATCTTATACCATGGAGTAACCTTATGCATGGGAGTTATCTTATATGCATGAGTAGTCTTATATGCCGGGAGTTGTCTTATAGAGCGGATTGGAGAATCTGTGGTTGCTGAATATGGTGGGGGGAGCTCAAAAATGGCAGTGGCCGCATCCCTGCCGTATGCAGCAACTGAATGAAAGCATTAAGGGCGATGCTGTACAAGTATGGTAGGGGAAAATCCATTCATCAGGATTCGTGGACTTAATGCAGTCCCAATGGTGAGGTGAAGGGGCGCCTCACCGGGAAGGTGCAAGTGAAGGGCGGAGCAAGCTGTAGGGGTCCGGGGCACCCGGGGTATGGAAAAAAGAGATAGAGTGACTCTGGGCCCAGAAAAACACACCTCTTTTACCTGTCTGGCCCGCCCTTATGTTCTATAACCGTACCTCCTCCTCTGCCTCTCAGATCTCGCTCCTGAAGACTGCAGTGAAGCGGTGCAGGTGTGCATGTGCGAGATCTGAGAGGCAGAGAAGGAGGTACAGTAATAGGAAAATTACCATATTGAAATCAAATCTAATGCTTTTAAAAAATTTACTTGGTGTGTGTTGGAAGAGGGATAGTCTTATACAGCGAGTATATCCCAAACACTATATTTTAACTGGAAAAGTTGGGGGTCGTCTTATATGCCCAGTCGTCTTATATGCCGGAATATACGGTAAATCATTAAAGAAGAAAAAAATACAGTAAAACATTGTATTTTGTATGGTATAAAAAAGGTGCAGAAACAAGTGTTTTACAGGGCAGGATTTTAATTTGGAGGCAGAACTCATCCATGGCCTTGTTTTGATCTTTTTCCGTAATATTTCTACCTTCATCAAACTGATGTAAATGGAAAGTATTATATCATCACTAGTTTTGTACCAAGGATGGATTGCCTTTTAACCTTCAGCCCACTCTTGTGCATTGCATTGAAGACTCAAGAAAGAAGCTTCAGCACAGCTTCACAGTTAGAACAGAACAATTCCATCACTTCTCACCCCACACTGGATGACTCAGGCTTAAGAACAGAAGAGGGACTGATCAGCCAAGGTCTGACTAGCACAGCACTCATGACAAAAACTGCAGCCACAGAGCAGAACGAAGAGAACACAGTGAAACTGGCTGCAAATTGCTTGCAAAATACAATGAACCTTCTTCTCACTATTGTAACAGTGTCTAACAATGTTGACATTACATTTGTCTCCAGTATTGACAACAATGTGAACCATTTTGGTATAGTGGTTTGAGTGCTAGATAAGGGTTTCAGGAAACTATTATTCAAATCCCTGGTCAGTCATGGAAACCCATGGGATGGCCTTGGAGGCAAGCCCTGCTCTCGCTCAGCCTCGGTGGAAATCAATAGCAAACTCTTGCCAAGAAAGCCTTATGTCACCTTATGTCACCACAAGTCAAGAGTGGACTTGAAGGCAACAGGGTTGTTGTAGGTTTTTTAGGGCTATATGGCCATGTTCTAGAGCAGGGGTCCTCAAACTACAGCCCGGGGGCCGGATACAGCCCTCCAAGGTCATTTACCCGGCCCTCGCTCAGGGTCAACCAAGGTCTGACATGACTTGAAAGCACACAACAACAACAACAATCCTATCTCATCAGCTAGAAGTAGGCCCACACTTCCCAATGAAATAATAATAAGTTCTTCATTTTAATTATTGTATTATTTTTAAGTGTTATTAGCACTACAAAAAAGATATGTGCAGTGTGCATAGGAATTCATTCATTTTTTTTTCAAATGATAATCCGGCCCTCCAACACTTTGAGGGACTGTGACCTGGCCCTCTCTTTAAAAAGTTTGAGGACCCCTGTCCTAGATGCATTCTCTCCTGACGTTTCGCCTGCATCTATGGCAAGCATCCTCACTACCTCTGAGGATGCTTGCCATAGATGAAGGCGAAACATCAGGAGAGAATGCCTCTAGAACATGGCCATATAGCTCGAAAAAAACCTACAACAACCCAGTGATTCCAGCCATGAAAGCCTTCGACAATACACATGTCAACAATTAATAACAATAGATAGCATGAACACAAAGCAGAGATCTGTAGCCATGGTCCCTTCCTCCTGGAAGTTGAACACATCGCTATATCTCTCCGCCTCTCTCACCTCCACCCCCCACATGTCATTACTGAGAGCAGATCTGGTAGTTATTGATCCTTTCCCTACCATCCATTCTCTCCTATCCAGCACCTTCATATGAAAGCAGTGGCAGCCAAGAGAAGTTGGCTGTTTGGTTCCAATATGTTTACTTAGCCTCTGGGGCAAATGTCTCCTCTTTCCAATTGAAGGCATGTCCCTACACATTATTTCCTCCTTCTGCACTTGCCCTCACGCTGCAACTCTACTTAGTTCTGGTACCTTGAGTAGGATCTCAACAGTGAAGATAGACGTGAAGGCATAGTCGAAGTAGCCTAGAATCTGAGTAACAGGATTGGGGGAAAGGAAAGAGAGAAACAGAGAAGGAAAAGTGAGAAGGAAAAAACAACAGAGACCAATGAAGAGAGAAACATAGAGTGAAGAGGAGAGCAATACTCTTTTGTCTCCTCCTCTTTTGCCCCATTCCCAGAGAATATGGCTTACATTATTGCGAAAGGAGTGTGCCCGGATAGGGTCCTCAGCTGCCAGAGATATGCTACTGAGGATGATGAAGACAAGGATGAGATTGGTGAAGATGTGGTGATGGATCAGCTTGTGGCACCCAACACGGAGCCTGGTGGAGGGAGGAAAGGCAGGCATACTAATGAGTCAGTAACACAAAATGAGATTATAGAAGTTCAGACCCCACAAATTTGGGAGGTAATGTGGAGCCCGAAAGCAGAAAGATAAGATTAAGAGTGGAGCTTACTCAAAGAGTGGTATACAACAACAACAAAACTTTATTTATATACCGCTCTATCTCCCCAAGGGGACTCAGAGTCCTACTGTTTAGGACTCAAACCTAAACAGTACATATAACAAAAAATGGCATAAACATAAAATTTTCAAGACAATATAAGCATTAAAACCACAATAGCACATATATTTAAAATAATCATGTCTGATCAAGGCGGCTTAAAAGGCTGGGCCGAGCTACTGCAATTTTAGAGGGCCCGGGAAATTAGGTAGAGTCTATGGATGTACATTTCCAGGGCCTAACAGAAGAGAGTGACCTGGGTAATTGGTAGAAAAAGATATGACCAATTTCAGCAGTATCTGGGGCAGAGCTAGAACTAGTCGTTCTCAAAGGTTTGTTTAAACCACCAGGTCTTCAGGCTCTTACAAAAGGAGGGGAGGGATGGGGCCTGTCTTATTTCTCTAGGAAGGGTGTTCCAGAGGCGGGGGCCACCACTGAGAAGGCCCTCTCTCTCATCCCCACCAACTATGCTTGTGACGGTGGTGGGAGGAAAGGAGGGCCTCCCCGGAAGATCTTAAAGTTTACGCCACTTCATAGAGGAAGCTGATGAGTAAATACAACATGCAAACCACCTACAGACCCACCAAGAAAATCTAACAAATGCTACATTCAGCAAAGGACAAGAGGGATCCTCTCACTTCTGCAGGAGTCTACCGTGTACCATGCAGCTGTGGACAAGTCTACATAGGGACCACCAATCGCAGCACAGACACGGATCAAGGAACATGAACAGCACTGCAGACTAATCCAACCAGAGAAGTCAGCCATAGCAGAGCACCTGAAGAACCAACCTGGACACAGCATATTATCTGAGAACACAGAAATGCTGGACCACTCTAGCAACCACCATGTCAGAATACACAGAGAAGCCATTGAAATCCACAAGCATGTGGACAATTACAACAGAAAGGAGGAAACCATGAAAATGAACAAAATCTGTCTCTCAGTATTAATAAAAATTACAACAGCAAAACAACAGAGAGTAAACAATCAGGCACATCAAATCACCTCTCAACAAAAGATTCCCCCAGGCACTTCCAAGCCATTAAATGCTAATCAAGGTGGTCAGTTGAAACATTCACACCTAGCTCCAGCAGACAAAAGACCTTTGTCCCACCCTGGTCTTTCCACAGATATATAAACCCATTTTCCTAGTTCCAACAGACCTCACTACCTCTGAGGATGCTTGCCATAGATGCAGGCGAAACATCAGGAGAAAATGCCTCTAGAACATGGCCATATAGCCCAGAAAAACCTACAACAACCTAGTTAAAGGGATTACTTTTTTTACTACAACTCCCTAAATTGGGTGGTGGACTCTGGAAGATTTTGGATTATGAAGGTTGTAATGAAAAGGAGTAACTTTTCCAAATTCTGAAACAGATCAAGTTTTGACCTTATTCTGCAAGTCTTGTACAATTACATCCAGACTAAGATGACATCTTATTAGAGGAGAAAGACATCCTTCCTGTACTCACGGGTTTGTTTTGCTCAGACAGAAGAAGGAGCTTCCATCAGGAATGGGCATCACCTTCTCCTTGGGGGTGTCCTCCACTTTGTCAAGGTGGGACTCTGCTAGGCTTTGTTGGTCTCCTTCCCCTTCCCCTTCCTCTTCCTCCTCCTCGCCTGAAAGCAAGTTTAATCAGTCAGTTTATATTTTCATTATATATTGCCCCAGTCGGCATGCATGATGCCTATTTATCTATAGGCAATCACTTGTGGCCAAGTATGATTGTCTTCCAGGGGTAGAGTCTCGGTGCTGGGTCTGTAAGTGACTGTAGAGGCCTATTCTAGATCTGCATAGTTTTTTGGAAGAGGATATAGGGTTCTAGGTGGAAGGTGGTTCTGATATGTTTCTTCCTTTCACTCTGTATTTGTGTCAGGATTGATTTAGTTATGTATGTGTTTTTCATGTGCTTCTATGTATCACAAAGATGGATGCCACTGTGAATTGAAAATGCCATGCAGAAATGTTTATACTTTGAGGCTGTGATTAAGTGAACTTGAAAAAGTAAGATAAGGTTTGTTCTTGCTGAGAACAGAAGGGAGTTGCCAGTCTCAGCAAGAGAAGATAAGCAGATGTGAAGAGGCTTTCAGTTTTGACTAGTTCTTTGTGTTTTTCCTGAATTGTAGCTCGCTGTAGAAAGACATGTCTGATGTATGTACTTAGTAAACTTAGTTTCTTTTGAAACTCAAAGCCTGCAGAGTCCTTATTTTGCAACTCAGTATCTGCTTGATCTAGCATTCTTTCCGTTGGGGATCGCCAATCTCTGACAATTTGTACCTCTTCAAAATCCATAGCACCACTGGTAACAGCTGACCTCCAGTTACAGTGCTAATTAGTTCTCAATGTTTATTCCACACTTTTAGGTTAGCTTTAAGACCATCTTTAATTGTATGTATCTTTTGCTGTCCATCAACACTCCGTGAACAGACAACACAGTAACAATAATAAAAACAGAGAGCTTGCAAACTTCAATTCAACACAGGAGCAAATAATGAACAGGCCAAAGCCAGTAGAGGGAGAATACACATTTGTTTTAAAAATAACTAAAGACATACATCACAATCATTATTATTTCACTTTTTCTCTCTTAAAAGACTCCAAGTAGCTATATGCCAATGGGGAAAAGCTGAGATTTAAAGGGAAGGATGGGGAAACAGACTCATTTAGGTGTCTGTGGACAGAGTCCCAGACACAAACACAGCCTACAAAGCAGGCTCCCTGAAGGCTTCTGCTCTAAAGGGCAGGTATCATGTCATCTGCTTCTAAACAGCAACTAACCTAGTGTAAAACTCATCTGCCACTGTAGGCAATGCACCATGTTACACCATAGAGAAGGTTGATCTGATCATACTAACCTGTTCTTGAATTATTTCATAGCTAGACTACTGCAATGTGTGCTATTATTTATTTATTATTATTATTTATTTGCTTCATTTTTATACCGCATTTTTCAGCCCTTAACAGGCGACTCAATGCGGTTTACAGTGCAATTAAAACACAACAATGCAACAACAGGATCGACGACGTCGATCCACAACAATTAACAATCAGACAGGACAAATCAACAAACAACATATATAACGCCTCAGTTGAAATCAGATCCGTTCTCATAGTCGTTGTGCCGTTCCTATGTTCCATTTACCGTCTTCCTTGATTAGTTGCATTGCTTAGCCAAACGCTTGTTCGTAAAGCCAGGTCTTGACCATTCTCCGAAACGTCAGCAACGAAGGTGCCTGTCTGATGTCTGCCGGCAAGGCATTCCATAGCCGAGGGGCCACCACTGAGAAGGCCCTGTCTCTCGTCCCCGCCAAGCGCGCCTGTGACGCAGGCGGGATCGAGAGCAGGGCCTCCCCAGACGATCTTAATGTTCTAGTCGGTTCATAGGTGGAGATGCGTTCGGAGAGGTAAGCGGGGCCAGAACCGTTTAGGGCTACATTGGACTCTTCTGTAAAAATATTCAGGAGTTAGAGGTAGTGATGAATGTGTGGACTGATTTATTGTCTGGCATGTACTTAAACGGCCCCAGCCCAAATTACCTGTCCAAACGCATCTCCCTCTATGTACCATCGCGGAGATTAAGATCCTCCGGGGAGGCCCTGCTTTCCGTCCCGCCATTGTCACAGGCGCGATTGGTGGGGACGAGAGACAGGGCCTTCTCGGTGATTGCTCCCCGGCTATGGAACTCCCTTCCTTGTGAGATCAGGTCGGCCCCCTCCCTCCTGTCCTTTAGAAGGATGGTAAAAACTTGGCTGTGGGACCAAGCTTTCGGGACAGGGCAATGAAGCGACAATGGGAAAGATGACAGGGCCAATTGGATTTGATGCGGATGGCTAGGATGGTTTTAAATTGTGTTATTTTAAATGGTGTATTTTAATATTTAGATAAATGTTTTTTAATGTTTATGTATTGTACTTAGGTTTTTAATGGTGTATTTTAATATTTAGATAAATGTTTTTAATGTTTATGTATTGTACCCAGGCATTGAATGTTTGCCATGTATATGTTGTGCTCTGCTCTGAGTCCCCTTCGGGGTGAGAAGGGCGGAATATAAGTGTTTTAAATAAATAAATAATAATAAATAAGAGGGAGACCGCGGCGGCGCAGTGGGTTAAACCACTGAGCTGCTGAGCTTGTTGACCAAAAGGTCACAGGTTCAAATCTGGGGAGCAGCGTGAGTTTCCACTGTCAGCCCTAGCTTCTGCCAACCTAGCAGTTTGAAAACATGCAAATGTGAGTAGATAAATAGGTACCGCTCTGGTGAGAAGGTAATGGCCTCCATGCAGTCATGCCAGCCACATGACCTTGGAGGTGTCTATAGACAATGCTGGCTCTTCCTTAGAAATGAAGATGAGCACCACACCCCAGAGTCGGACATGACTGGACTTAATGTCAGGGGAAAACCTTTACCTTATGTACTTAAGAAACCACATCTCACTGATTCTGAACCAACCATACTGGCTTCAGTATGTTTCTATGTATGTTCAACTCAAGTTGCTAGTTTTGACTTTTGCTGTGGTCTATCTTCAAGTCATTTTTAACTTATTGTCCCTATTTGACCCTATCACAGGATTTTCTTGGAATGATTTGTTCAGAGTGGTTTATCTTTGCCTTCCTATAAGACTGAGAGTGTGTGACTTATGCAAAGTCACTCAGGGTGTTCCATGGTTGGGTGAGGATTTAAAGCCCAGACATCTGGGAGTTGGCCCTCCAACTCCCAGAAGCCCCAATGAGCTTGTTCAATTGTCGGGAATTCTGGGAGTTGAAGGCCAAAACAACTGGAGGACTGCGGTTTGAGGTCCTAGTGCAGGGGTCCTCAAACTAAGGCCTGGGGGCCGGATGCGGCCCTCCAAGGTCATTTACCCGGCCCTCGCACAAGGTCAACCTAAGTCTGAAACAACTTGAAAGCACACACAACAACCCTATCTCATCAGCCAAAAGCAGGTCCACACTTCCCATTGAAATACTAATAACTTTATATTTGTTAAAATTGTTCTTCATTTTAAATTGTATTGTAGTTTTTTGCACTACAAATAAGATATGTGCAGTGTTCATAGGAATTCATTCATTTTTTTTCAAATTATAATCCGGCCCTCCAACAATTTGAGGGACTGTGACCTGGCCCTCTGTTTAAAAAGTTTGAGGACTCCTGTCCTAGTCGAACACTCAAGCCACTGTAATACACTTGAATCTCAACATTTATTTCTAGGAGGTTTGCCATTGCTTTCCTCTGAAGCTGAGAGTATGACTTGCCCACAGTGATCAAGAGGGGTTTCGTGGCCAAGCAGAAATTCAAACTTTGGTCTTCAGAGCCATAGTCCAACAGTAAAAAAATAAATACATCATGCTGTTTTTGAAAGACCTTAAGCAGCATAGAATCATAGAATCATAGAGTTGGAAGAGACCTCATGGGCCATCCAGTCCAACCCCCTGCCAAGAAGCAGGAATATTGCATTCAAATCACCCCTGACAGATGGCCATCCAGCCTCTGTTTAAAAGCTTCCAAAGAAGGAGCCTCCACCACTGGAAGCTGCTGCTCTGGGGTTAGGATATACAAAAGGACACTTTCTCCCATATACACCACTCTGAAATTTATTTTCAGAATTAGCTCTTACATTTTTCACCACCCTTTGAAGCTAGGTTGGTGTCAGCATGCTGGATGGGGTTTTGTATGTTGTAGCACTTTAGTTGTGGAGTTTCTTTCAAGGGATGTAAGGCAGCTTCCTTCACTCTCGACTAAGCTTCCAGCAAAATGGTATTATTCTGTATGGATTTTAGTTTTTACAACTGAAAAAACGCTGCTCTTTAGATATACATTTATTTTAAAAGAATTATTTGAATCTGTTTTCTAGTAAATCACCCCAGGAACCACGAGAGAATAGAAAAGCAGTGATTAAATAAATTTCGCATCAGAAACAACTATCAGTTTCAGCCAGCATGACCAGGCAAACATCGAAGATACTACTGGCCTGCTTAGAGCTGTCCAAGGTCCTGAAAGTTTAACTTGATGAAATCAGTGGCCTCGCACACAGCTTTTTGTTTTGTGGTTTCCTTCAAAGCCTAACAGTGCTAAATCAGACATTTCCAAACTGTGTGTTGATACACAGTAGGGCAGTGGTTCTCAACTTGTGGGTCCCCAGATGTTTTGGCCTTCAACTCCCAGAAATCCTAACAGCTGGTAAACTGGCTGGGATTTCTGGGAGTTGTAGGCCAAAACACTTGGGGACCCACAGGTTGAGAACCACTGCATTATTGTGTTGGCTGTACTGTGTAGGTGTGTCATGCAAACCTAAGCCAAAACCTCTGAGTCTGTATGAAATAAGGAATAAATATGTGTGTGTGTAATGTTAGTTTTTGGGATTAACATAACTCAATAACTACTAGATGAATTGACACCAAATTTGGATACAATACATGTATCAGGCCAATGAGTGACCATCACTCACAAAAACACTGAAAAACACAGTGGAAGGGACTTTACCTGTCCGAACGCATCTCCCCCTATGTACCATTGCGGAATTCCTATGCTCACTGGACAAATCTTATTTGTAGTGCAAAAAAAAAACACTTAAAAACAATACAATAATTAAAATGAAGAACAATTTTAACAAATATAAACTTATTAGTATTTCAATGGGAAGTGTGGGCCTGCTTTTGGCTGATGAGATAGGATTGTTGTTGTTGTTGTTTTGTGTGCTTTCAAGTCGTTTCAGACTTAGGTGGACTCTGAGCAAGGCCCAGGTAAATGACCTTGGAGGGCCATATCCGGCTCCTGGGTTTTAGTTTGAGGACCCCTGCCCTATAGAGTACTATAGCCATCTTTATGGCTTTCAGAGTAACCAAACATAATATTTGTTTCCTTTCTTACCGGCTTCTTCACTGCCTTCTTCTGCTTCTTCGTTCTCCTCCTCCTCCTCCTCCTCCTCACATTCCAACTTAGAAGAAAGCAAATGAAATATTGTTAGAGTGCAAAATAGGAAGAAGTTATCAACAGATGGTGGGGGGAGAAACAAAGTGAGATAACACCTTTTTAAAAACTTGCAGACAATTACTTAAATTCTCTTTTGGATTTGGACAGAGTAAGGTACAGCAAGCTCTTCAGAATAGTACTTGTGTCTCCAACTGCAAATGTGAATGGTCCCAAGCAAGTCTGCAGAAATCAACACATATTTCTGCAAGCAATGGTCCCAAGAAAGTCTGCAGAAATCAACACTCCCCTCCCCTCCCTCACTTATCCATATCCCTCACTCCACATCCCCAGTGTAGCTCTATTTATCTATTTTACTTTATTCTTTACTTTACTTTATTTTATCTATTATACTTTATCTATTTACATTGTTGGAGGAATGTTCTGAGAGTGCCTTGGACTGCGAGAAGATCCAACCAGTCCATACTTCAGGAAATAAAGCCCGACTGCTCATTGGAGGGAAGGATAGTAGAGGCCAAGATGAAGTACTTTGGTCACATCATGAGAAGAAAGGAAAGCTTAGAGAAGACAATGATGCTGGGGAAAATGGAAGGAAAAAGGAAGAGGGGCTGACCAAGGGCAAGATGGATGGATGGTATCCTTGAAGTGACTGGATTGACCTTGAAGGAGCTGGGGGTGGTGACGACCGACAGGGACCTCTGGCATGGTCTGGTCCATGAGGTCACGAAGAGTCGGAAATGACTGAACGAATGAACAACAACAACAACTTTATTCTATTTCCTTTTTCTCTTCTTTTCTTGTACTCTATCCCACTCACACCTCCCCTTTCCCATATTTTAGCTAGACCTACCCCTCCACCCCACCCCCATGTTCTTTTAATGTATGATTGTAAAATACTTGAAATAAAGATCATTAAACAAAAAAACCCACATATTTCTTGTGCAACAGTGGTCCTCAACCTGTGGGTCCCCAGGTGTTTTGGCCTACAACTCCCAGAAATCCCAGCCAGTTTACCAGCTGCTAGGATTTCTGGGAGTTGAAGGCCAAAACACCTGGGGACCCACAGGTTGAGTACCACTGTTCTACAAGGTCTCCTACTTTAAGAAATATTTTTTTTAAAAAAACCACCATAAAGGCACCAGATCTTGTCTGATCTTGAGAGCTATTAAAAGGGTTAACTCTGGTTAATACAGTACTTAGATAGGAAATACCAATGAATACCAGGTGCTATAGGCAAAAACATATCTGACTATTCCTTGATTCAGAAAGCTCTATGAAACTTCTGGGGTCACCATAAGCTGACCAGCAACCTGAAGGCACACATACATGCACAGAGCTAATGGATTCAGTTGGCCAAGGTGGTCCACGCCTTAGTCACCTCTAGACTGGATTACTGCAATGCACTCTACGTGGGGCTGCCCTTGAAAACGGCCCGGAAATTTCAGGTGATCCAACGGGAGGCGGCCAGATTGCTAACTGGGGTGCCTTACAGGGAGCGGTCATCCCTCCTGTTCAGGGAGCTCCACTGGCTGCCATTCATTTACCGGATCCAATTCAAGGTGCAAGTTCTTACCTACAAAGCCCTGAACAGTTTGGGACCGGCCTACCTGCGTGACCGCATCTCTGTATATGAACCCATGCAATCCCTTCGATCATCCAGGGAGGCCCTGCTCTCGATCCCACCAGCATCGCAGGTGCGGTTGGTGGGGACGAGAGAGAGGGCCTTTTCGGTGGTGGCCCCTCGACTCTGGAACTCTCTCCCTAAAGACATCAGACAGGCCCCAACCTTGGCAGTCTTTAGGAGGAGCTTGAAGACGTGGTTGTTCCAGTGTGCCTTCCCAGAATAATGATCCCATAGCACTTTGTCCTCCAAAGCACTTTACACTTTTTAGATCTGCTCGTATGCCCTTCCACAAACGCCACTATCACCTTTCGTCCATGTCCCAGCATTATTTCCATTTTAACTTTACATTTGGCCTTCCCACTGTTTTTAATTGCGTGTTGTCTTATTGATAATGTTGTATATTTTATTGTCTATGTTTTATTTTAATTGCTTATACTGTTGTTATTTTGCTTGTATTGTTGTATTCGGGCTCGGCCTCATGTAAGCCGCACCGAGTCCCTTGGGGAGATGGTAAAAAGGTAAAGGTAGTCCCCTGACATTAAGTCCAGTCATGTCTGACTCTGGGGTGTGGTGCTCATCTCCATTTCTAAGCCGAAGAGCCAGCGTTGTCCATAGACACCTCCAAGGTCATGTGGCCGGCATGACTGCATGGAGCGCCGTTACCTTCCCGCCGGAGCAATACCTATTGATCTACTCACATTTGCATGTTTTCGAACTGCTAGGTTGGCAGAAGCTAGGGCTGACAGCGGAAGCTCACGCCGCTCCCCGGAATCGAACCTGCGACCTTTCGATCAACAAGCTCAGCAGCTCAGTGCTTTACCCCACTGCGCCAGTCCCTTGGGGAGATGGTAACGGGGTACAAATAAAGTTTATTATTATTATTATTATTATTATTATTATTATTATTATTATTAGTTCTGCACCGGAATGAACTAGAGCTTATTTACAAGCCAGGTCCCTCCAATTCAAATGTCAATAGAACAATGGCATGAACTAATAAGAGTGAATGTGGTAGGAGGATAAAGGCCAAATGCAATTGAACAGGTAATTGTAGTACTAATCAGGAAACGTCCCCAGAGCAAAATAGCTGTGCTTTCTAGTGTGATTTGTCCCTGAATAGCAGGGCAAGGTATGACTTTAGCAGGAGGTAAATATTAGTTAATCTGTTTTTGTATCTCAGCACTGCTTAAGGCTCTCAGGTCTGTTCCTTTGGAGATTGCATTTGAGATTCCCTTTCCCAAAGAACTCTGCTCCCAGAGGATGTGTTATTTCATTTTCAAAACTCTGTGGAAAAAATCCCACTCAGCCCACATTTTATGTCTAGACTGTGACAAAGATCACTATAATCTAAGAGCTCTTCTATAAATAGATAATGCTCTGTAGAGTCCCCGTGAATCTGGCTTACTTTAAAATGTAAATTTCTATGTAATAATAAAGCAACCCCATGAGATTCCTTAGAGCCGGTGCCCCCATATTTGGAATCCCATTGTCAATATAGGCTTATTATATCCATTTGAGAGGTGTCATGTGTCTTCGGCAGGAAGAGACCTTTCTGTCCTTCCTTTGGCAAGCATGGCATTTTCCATTCTGACGAACGTTTAAAAAATGACTGCAAAGGCTTTTAATAGCATGCTATTTTGCTGATCCTAACAAATCTCAATATTTTGACAGATTTGCTTTAATTGGTTCAATTTTAAGGATAATTTAATTGTATGATTTTATTTATGGCTGCATAACTGTGTTAATTCTGATTGTTTTAACTTATGTAAGTTATAAAAGGTTGCATATAAATGAACAGTGGAGCCCCACTGTACACTGGGTCAAAACACTGAGCTACTGAACTTGTTGACCTAAAGGTCGCAGGTTCAAATCCGGGGAGCAGCGGAGCACCCGCTGTCAGCCCCAGCTTCTGCCAACCTAGCACTTCGAAAACATGCAAATGTGAGTAGATCAATAGGTACCGCTTCGGTGGGAAGTTAATGGCTCCATGCAGTCATGCCTGGCCACATGACCTTGGAGGTGTCTTAGAAAACCCGCTCTTCGGCTTAGAAATTGGAGATGAGCACCACACCCCAGAGTCGGACACGAAAAGGGAAAACCTTTACCTTTACCTAAATGAACAGTAATGGGTTGTTTTTTTTTTGTTCTATCAGGAGTGACTTGAGAAACTGCAAGTCGCTTATGGTGTGAGAGAATTGGCCGTCTGCAAGGACGTTGCCCAGGGGACGCCCGGATGTTTTGATGTTTTACCATCCTTGTGGGAGGCTTCTCTCATGTCCCCACATGAGGAGCTGGAGCTGATAGAGGGAGCTCATCCACGCTCTCCCTGGATTCAAACCTGCAACCTATCGGTCTTCAGTCCTGCCAGCACAAGGGTTTAACCCCCTGCGCCACCGGGGGCTCCACAGTATTGGATGAAAATGACATACAAATGAATTAATTACAGTAGTAATAATATCAGACTAAATACACTAAAGGCACGGATTTTTGCCTAATTTTGAAAACTAAGCAGGGTCATCGCTGGTTCATTCTTGGATGGGAAACCGCCGATGAATCCCAGAAAATTGCAGCCGTATTTCAGAAAAGCGAACTGGCAAACTATCTCAATTTTATAGGTAATTTAATTGTATTTTGTGGTGAAGTGTAAATTTTTAACTTGCAGTTATGTATAATTATAGATAGATGTTTTAAATGGTAAGTATTTAAGTTGCATAACTAATTGGGATGGTAGCCAGTTCAGCTCATGTTGAGCTGGGTTACCTTGGAAACAGGGGCGGAGCCAACTGCCACTTGGCAGGGCAGCCATTTTAAAACAGTTCGTCTGCAGTTTGGGAGCTGCAGGAGTGGTTGGTTTTCTGGTAGTGTAAATCAGGGAAACTGTAGGAGTAGCTGGTTCTGTTGAGTAGGGAGAACCAGGAAGGTAATCTGTAGTTTAAAAACTACAGGGAAAGGCTGATTCTATAGTAGAGAGAATTAGCAAGGTTTAGGCTTTTAGCCTGAGTAGTTTAAACAAGTCGAGTTGACTTATTTATATTAATAGTGTATGAGAGAAAGGGTGAGAGAAACCCAGTGAGAATCTCTATTGCAACAGAAACATCACAAAGAAAGAATAAGCTTGTAACTGAAGTAATCTGTTAAGGAAAGAAACACAGTTTGAAGAAAAATAAGTTTGAAACCTGTTTAGTGGAAGTAAGAGTCCTTCCCAGAGTTGTTTAAGGAATGTTATAAATGTAACCTTTGAAGATTTGTGCCTCTAAGAGTTAAGTTACATTGAAACCATCCTGCTCCTTCTACATTTCAATAAACTTGTTACTATTCTTTTCCTGAAACCTTGTCTCTGATACAATTCCTTTCCAAGTTAAGTCACGCTACACAGACCAAATCAATATTATTAGCTACACTATCAAATTAATAAACCCTTACAAAGTGGTGGCTCCTTTACAAACGTTTACAAATTGGTGGCCTCATCACAAATTAGTGGCTTTTTAGCGAATCGTCACAAATTGGTGACATCGTTACATATTTTAACTAAGAAAACCCTATGAAATGCATCTGGTTGACATAATTTGACAACTGACTGGAAAACTTATCCACACAATAATAATATTAATAGTAATAACATATTTAGAGCCAGTTTGGTATAGTCTTTAAGCCTTGAATTAAGAGCAGGATTCAAACCCACAGTCTGTCATGGAAATCCAGTGGGTGACCTTGGGGAGGTTACATTCTCTCAGCCTCAAAGGAAAGCAAAGGCAACCTCCCTCTGAACATACCTCGCCAAAGAAACCTCATGCTCTAGAATCATATCAAATTAGAAATAACTTGAAAGCACATAACAACAAATAATATCTTGAATGATTTTTGTAGCATTTAAACAACAATATTCTGTCTAACAGGGTTCCGTAACTGGATGATTGACTCTTTTAATATTCACTTTAAAGTTACACAGTATGCCAATAACACACAACTCAAATAACTTTATATGCCGTGTTTCATTAAACAAAAGAGAAACGTGAACTATCACTTGCAACCCCCCCCCCCCCATCTTCTTCCCAAACATCAGAGGCAACGATCTTGGCTCTGCCAGTCCTTCTTTCCTATGTAGGATATCTTCTCTTTTGCAGATTGTACATAATTATTTCACCTTCTGAAGATTTTAAGTTAGGTGAAATGCTTTTACAATTCAGGTCTCACCCTGAAGATTGAGGCTTCAACCTATCATCCATGCCTGAGTTTCAACATTGTATTTCCCCTGAACTTCTATAAAGTGGCACTGTATGGATGTGACTGTAGAGGGAATTTGTCATGGGCGGGAAAACAATCCTGATGTTTTCCTCCACTATACCCCGCCAACCATCTCCCCAAAGGGACTCGGCGTGGCTTATAAGGAACAAGCCCAAAAAATTACAGATAAAACACAACCAATTTAAAACATCAGATAAAATATAAAACAATCACAATTGTAAACAAACATCAAAACAATATGGCTGAGAAAAAGAACATAGTTGAGGTACAGAATCAATGAGTGCAATACATCCTGAAGGAGCGCAAGGAAAGTGCAACAAACAAGTAGGCACGGCCGGAGATACAGTCATCAAAAGGATGACTGTATTATTATTATTATTATTATTATTATTATTATTATTATTTTGTTATTGTATTATTCCATGTTAGAGATATCTTGCAGAAAAACCTAGACGATAAGAGGGCTGACGTAAAGTGCTGAACTTAAAGTAGGGGCAGGAAAATTACTAGTGGAGTGCTTAATCAAAAGCACACCAGAACATCCAGGTTTTTAGTTGTCTCCGGAAAGAGGACAAAGTAGGAGCCTGTCTGATCTCCCTAAGCGGGAGTTCCAGAGCCAGGGAGCCATCACCAAGAAGGCCCTCTCTCTCATCCCCACCAACTGTGGTTGAAACGGCGGAGGGAGAGAGAGCAGTGCCTCCCTGGATGATCTCAAGGTTGTACTGATTCATAGGGGAAGATGCGATCATGAAGATAAGCAGGTCCCGAACCGTTTAGGGCTTTATAGGTGATGACCTGCACCTTGAATTGGGATCGGAAACTTATTGGAAGCCAGTGGAGCTGTTTAAACAGGGGAGTAGACCACTCCCTATAACCAGCTCCCGTGAGTAGTCTGGCTGCAGATCTTTGGACCAACTGTAGATTCCGGGCCATCTTCAAGGGCAACCCTATGTAGAACGTGTTGCAGTAATCCAACCTAGAAGTGACTAGGGCATGGACCACCATAGCCAGATCATATTTCATGAGGTATGGGTGCAGTTGGCGCACAAGCTTTAACTGTGCAAAAGCCCGCCCAGCCACCCCTGACATCTGAGCATCATGTATCAAAGCAGAGTCCAGAAGGACCCCCAAGCTGCAGACCTGTGGCCTCAGAGGGAGTGACACCCCATTGAGCACACGTAGCCAGGAAGTTCAGGAGAGGATGACTACAACCCCCAGGATTGTATACGACAGAACTGCATCATTCAAAAATGGTAGCAAACGGCTGCAACTCTGCAGTTGAGATGTAGTGAGGAAAAGTGCCGTTCGTATTCAGTGCAGAAGAGCAAGCAGAAGACAACAGAAATCATGGTAACTGCACTAGGCCAACTTTTCCTATAGTTTGAAGCCATTGCTCCATTGTTCCGTTGTGTCCTAGTCTCCAGGCAGAGGCAGCCCTAGGTAATTTTCAACGGTAAGCAAACAGTATTTTGCCCCCCCCCCCCAACCAATCACTGATATATATTTTCTGTTCGTCGTGGGAGTTCTGTGTGCCATATTTGGTTCAATTCCATCATTGGTGGAGTTCAGAATGCTCTTTGATTGTAGGTGAACTATACATCCCAGTAACTACAACTCACATATGTCAAGGTCTGTTTTCCCCCAAGAGCGCCTCAAGAGCATTCCTGGGCAAAATCAACTATACTGCAAAGGCTTACTTTGCATAATGGGTTGAGCCGCCCCTGGTAACAGGAAGCAGGCAATGGCATAAATCTTACTGTTAGACCTGACTAGAAAAAATCCACTGAATTTTCCTACATGTAGGCACATCATTCAGCAGTTCAATGGCTCTACACTATTTGAGAGCATTCCAAATCTGGACTTGTAACATACTGATTAGCCAAAACTATATATACGCACACAAATGCATTATGTATGGCTGCCTCACAAATAGAGAATTCTCTACAGTTGTACTTTATGAATGCCATAATCCACCTAGGGTTTAGATCACTAACTGGATTTTCCCCTCAGGATATTTCATGCCAAGTTGCAATGTTGTGATTTTTAACTAGACTGCGATATAAATATTGAGTCCATGTGGAATCCCTACTTTGAGAGCCCAAAGGTCTCCGTTACATCTCTGAAAGCCACACAGTCAGAACTGAAGGTCAAGGATTTCAATTCTCACCTTCACATCTTTTTCTTCAGTCTCGTTGCTTTGTTCCCCCTCTGCTGGCGCCTCTCTGTATTGTACAAGGGATGCAGGATGAGAGCAGGGAGAGAAATAGTAGTAGAAGAGAGAAAGTAAAACATTGGAAAGGACACGAATCTTCTCCACACAGACTCTCGTGATTCCAGAATCATCATTTCACAGATTGTGGGCATTCCTTTTTCTACATATACTATATAGAGTACCCTCCATTAGTTTCTTTATTCTCATAGTAGCCTAGTGTGGAAAGGGTACAAATAGTCTCTTTCACACTACATACCACTTTTGCAGCCATAATTGTGTAGTGTCAAAGAAAAGTATGTATCAGACAACCATTCCCCCAAACCCAGAGCTGAGGTGGGATTTGAGTTGCAGTAAATAATACCCACTACAGCCATTCTACACTGCCATATAAAATCCAGATTATCCAGATTATCTGCTTTGTACTGGATTATATGACAGTGTAGACACAGGTAATCCAGTTCTGTACCTCCTTCTCTGCCTCTCAGATCTTGCACATGCGCAGCTGCACCGCTTCACTGCAGTCTTCAGGAGCGAAATCTGAGAGGCAGAGGAGGAGGTACAGTAATAGGATACAAGGACGGGCCAGACAGGTAAAAGAGTTGTGTTTTCTGGGCCCTGAGCCACTCTATCTCTTTTTTCCATACCCCGGGTGCCCCGGACCCCTACAGCTTGCTCCGCCCTTCACTTGCACCTTCCCGGTGAGGCGCCCCTTCACCTCACCATCGGGACCGCATTAAGTCCACGAATCCTGATGAATAGATTTCCTTCTACTGTACTTGTACAGCATCGCCCTTAATGCTTTCATACAGTCGCTGCATATATCAGGGATGTGACCACTGCCATTTTTGAGCTCCCCCACAATATGAAGCAACCACAGATTCTCCAATCCAGATTGAAAGTTTCAGCACCCGCTCTATAAGATGACTCCCGGCGTATAAGATTACGCCCATGTATAATACTACTCCCGCGTATAAGGCTACTCCAGTGTATAAGACTACCCCCGTGTATAAGACAACCCCCGCATATAAGATGACCCCTGATTTTTGAGAAGATTTTCTTGGGTTAGAAAGTAGTCTTATACACCAGAATATACGGTACCCAGTCCTTCTTTGACCCTTTCTATACTGCCAAATAATATCCAAATTATCTGTATGCTCATATAATCCAGTTCAAAGCAAATAATGTGGATTATTTGATTTAATCATTTGGATTATATGGCAGTGTATAAGGGGCCATTGTTGGTTTGTTTATATATGGACCCTTACTTTAAGGACAAAGGAAAAGTAGCTTACAACCAGCAATTCTAAAGCAGTAAAAATCACACACAACGGCATCTTGCCCATCACACGCATCTTGCCCATGCACAATGTATTACTACCACACCTATCTCTTTTTGCAATAAAGGTAGCTTTTCCTCTTTATTTTTGAAAAAGTTTACAAAATAGTTTTCTTCCCGCCCCTCAAAAAAACCCTCCTCCTCATCCTATTCTAGATTAATATCAGTTCTCACTTGTTTTTGGAAGTATTGATGTTGTCCCCATCTGCAAGATTGTCCACAGCAATGGCCAAGAAGACATTGAGTAGGATATCTGGAGTTTGGTGTTCAGGAAAAAAGGAAAACTGCTTTGAACCATAATAATCCCAAAACAAAGTTTTAGCCCAATTAAAGATATTGTAGTGGATGGATCAAATCAGTTTGGGACAGTTAATAAATTAATCAATTACATTTTCATAAGATCAACACCATATTTTTGAAGTAAAATGCTCAATTTAGAAGCAGTCATATGCAGGAACAATTTTAAAGATGCATTTCTTTGAGTTTATGTGAAAGAGAAAATGAATGATGCCTCTTTGAAAATGTTTGCCATCATCAATTAGAAAAATCCTGCCCAGCCATTCTCTAATCAACAGAATGTTTTAAAATAGTGGACTGATTGCAATTATATTTCAAACTCAGTATGCTTATAATTTCAACTGTAAATGATTTTATTCCTGTTTCCCTGCCTCAGATCATATACGCAGTATCTACTGATGTATAAGTCTAGACATTTTAGGAAAAAATCAGTCCCAAACATCTGAACAGAGTTATCAATGGGTCAATGTAAAGACTGTACCTTGACATTTATATATATGCATATGTGTATATATATATATATATATATATATCAGGAACCACTCTGTGTATTGAGTAATACAAGGCAAGAACTTAGTCCATCCTGGGGGAACTTAAAAGATGTACCAATCCCCCAACTCTCTCCACCATAGCACTGCTTCTATCATTTCTGAATGCTTGGATATGGAAATGGCAGTGGCAGTAACCAAGGGTGGTTGCCCCCTTTGATGCAGTGCTGGCACTTTCCCTCTTTGTGGAGTGACCCTCAAGGTATCCACTGCTCATATTCAAATTCATAATTTCAGCCCCAACACCTGCCTTCAATGTACACATGAGATCACCATATACACATGTATATGTGGTAACCATTGCAATGGGAAGATTGGTTTGATTGCTAACTTTAGGGACCAAGAAGGAGAACTTCCTCTATCCACAGATTCATAGGCTGCTCCTGGAAGAGTAAAAAGAGATGGGCCAAATATCTCAGGGCTGAGAAAGAGCAAGAAACAACAGCTGAGCAAAATCGAAAGCAAAATAATGCACCAAGGACAAATCTGCCAGGCTCCAAGAACAGGTAGATAGATAGATAGATAGATAGATAGATAGATAGATAGATAGATAGATAGATAGATAGATAGACACACACACACACAACGGGACTATGGCGCAGCTGGTTGGGAGTCAGCTGCATTAAGATCACTCCTGACCAAAAAGGTCATGAATTTGAAGCCAGCCCCGGTCAGAGTGAGCTTCCAACCATTGTGTAGCTTGTTGTCAACCTTTGCAGCCCAAAAGACAGTTGCATCTGTCAAGTAGGAAATTTAGGTACTGCTTATGCGGGGAGGCTAATTTAACTAATTTACGACACCATAAAAATATCCAGCAACCATGCAAAAAGAATGGGGAAGTATTCCATCATTGTCACTAATGGATGGTGAAGCGACAGCTCCCCTGGTGGCCAGAGTACCCTAATGAAAGCTGGAATGTTAAATAGCCTCTGTGTGTCTGTCTATATATGTTGTGTGTCTATGGCATTGAATGTTTGCCATGTATATGTACATTGTAATCCATTGTGAGTCACCTGCGGGGTGAGAAGGGCGGAATATAAATACTGTAAATGAATAGATAAATAAATAGATATAAGAGCAGTTCACAGAAACTATTATTCTCATGAAAAGAGTTGGGTAACTCTACATATGAAATAGAACTCCAGTTGACAATCCCAGCTTTCTGTGCTGCACACCGAGTGCATTAAACAATATGGACTGAGAAAGATGATAGTGCTCTATGGTTCATCCAGTAAGCAACAGACCCAAACACTGATGTTCCTGCAAACAAAGCCCAAGAAAACCAGGATTCTGAGATGGGTTCATTTAAATGTTCACCTTACTTGTAAAGGTCCCCCAAATATAGTTGGAGGGATCCCTTTATCAGACCGGAAAGAGGTCTGATAAGAGGTATAATCTCTGATCAACTTCCTCCATCTGTTTCCACAAATGGGAGCGGGGTAAAGACAACAACGCATTTCTGCACTAATTAGCACTCCAGCAGCCTAGCGTAATCCTTCTGGCTGCAAGATCTGTTAATCTTCACAGCCATCCCAAGAGTCAAAGGATACAGTTTCCACAAATAAAGAGGATGATGAAATAGACGCAGACCAGCATGCCTGGGAAATACGGGCCTCCGTAGGCCATGATCCCGTCGTACATCACCGTGTTCCAGTCCTCACCAGTCAGGATCTATGTAATGGGAAAGGGGAAAGAGCAAAAATTATTGTTCTGGGAGCACACCTTGAATAAGATTCATGCCACAACCCAAAGGTCAAAACCAAAGCGTATTCAAGCAAGTATGGGATTTCTGGTCCAAAAATGGCTTTTGACCTTTTTCACAATCAAGATTTAAGGTTGGCTGCCTCTTGAGAGCACCAGTCTTCTTCTCCTCAGACACTAGCTATTTCAGGCTATATCAGACATGCACAATCTCATCTAACTTGAGTCAATTAACAAATATTATTAAGGTAGAGATGGCATTGGCAAAGGATAATATCTATTCTTTCTGATGTTACAACTGTATACCCAACCAGAAGTTGTGAAGGCAGACTAAAGTTGTTTGGTAATGACAGTTGTTGATGAGTGCCTTCACGTCCTTCTCGGCCTCCATCACTGGGTTTCCTTGGCAAGATTTGTTCAGAAGATGCTTGCCATTGCCTTCCTCTGAGGCTGAGAGAGTGTGTATTATCCAAGGTAACCAAGTGGATTTCATAACTATCTTATCACATTTAGAGCTTTAAAGCACTAGCACCCACTATTACAGGGAAAACCAGCTGATCCCCAACCTATCCAAAACACAGACATGTGTCTTTCATCTCAAGAACAGAGAAGCATCCCGAGCTCTGAGGATTACCTGGGAAGGAATCCCACTGGAGCATTGCAGCACACCCAAATACCTGGGAGTCACTCTGGACCGTGCTCTTACCTACAAGAAGCACTGCCTGAACATCAAGCAAAAAGTGGGTGCTAGAAACAATAATCATACGAAAGCTGACTGGCACAACCTGGGGATCACAACCAGATACAGTGAAGACATCTGCCCTTGAGCTATGCTATTCTGCTGCTAAGTATGCATTCCCAGTGTGGAACACATATCACCATGCTAAAATAGTGGATGTGGCTCTTAATGAGACATACCACATTATCACGGGGTGTCTGCGCCCTACACCACTGGAGAAATTACACTGCTTAGCCGGTATTGCACCACCTGACATCCGCCGGGAAGTAGCAGCCAATAGTGAAAGGACCAAGGCGGAGACATCTCCAGCTCATCCCCTGTTTGGGTATCAGCCAGCACGTCAACGACTTAAATCTAGAAATAGTTTTTTAAGACTCTACAGAGACACTCACTGGAACACCTCAGCAAGCGAGAGTCCAAAAGTGGCAGGCTCAAACCCAGAACCTCAATCAATGGCTGACACTAAATGAGAGACTCCCCCCTGGGCACACAGAGGACTGGGCGACTTGGAAGGCGCTGAACAGACTGCGCTCTGGCACCACGAGATGCCGAGCCAACCTTCAGAAATGGGGCTACAAAGTGGAATCCACGACATGCGAGTGTGGAGAAGAGCAAACCACTGACCACCTGCTGCAATGCAACCTGAGCCCTGCTACATGCACAATGGAGGACCTTCTTGCAGCAACACCAAAAGCACTCCAAGTGGCCAGATACTGGTCAAAGGACATTTAATCAACTACCAAACTCACAAATTTAGTATTTTGTCTGTTTGTTTGCTTTGTTCTGTTAGAAATGTAATATAATTTGACTGGTTGTCCTGACACGACAAATAACCCACTTTCAATAACCCAAATAACCCAGTTCTGCTTTCTGCAGAATTCTGCTTTCTGCAGAATTCTGGAGCTTGTAGTTTAGGGTAGGACTACTGGAAATCTCAGCCAGTGAGGTCCTCGGCTTCCCTAAACTAGTAGAGTTGCCAGGTTGAATAAAGGACTAGGCCAGGGGTCCTCAAACTTTTTAAACAGAGGGCCAGGCCACAGTCCCTCAAACTGTTGGAGGGCCGGATTATAATTTGAAAAAAAAAATGAATGAATTTCTATGGACACTGCACATATCTTTTTTGTAGTGCAAAAAACACTTTAAAACAATACAATAATTAAAATGAAAAACAATTTTAACAAATATAAACTTATCAGTATTTCAATGGGAAGTGTGGGCCTGCTTTTGACTGATGAGATAGGATTGTTATTGTTGTTGTGTGCTTTCAAGTCATTTCAGACTTAGGTTGACCCTGAGCGAGGGCCAGGTAAATGACCTTGGAGGGCCGTATCTGGCCTTCGGGCCTTAGTTTGAGGCTTTTGTAGCTTTAATCATTTACAGATCCTGGATCAGGAAGAAGCACTGTAAAGTTCCATGATGTTATTGCTGTCTGTCCAACCGGGGAAGAGAGAACTGGACACTACACTGGCCAATAAACAGCCATGTTTGGAAAGTTGCAGAAAGGTTTGGGAGGTGAAGAAGAAAACCTGCCAAAGTTCTGCCTGATTGAACTCTGCAGCACCAACTCCTAGCCAATCACAACAAAATCCCAAATCTACAAAATAATGATACCTTTACTGGCCAAAAAAGTGCATAAAACACATAATGCAAGCTTTTGGAACTTCATTGACCCCCACCCCACCCAACACGTGTACCCTTCACTAGTTTTTCAACATGTAACAGCACAAGGACTTCTTGAGAAATTCAGTGTTCTCTGCCTAAGAAAGAGGCAGCTACCTTCACACAGGACAGTCAGCCTGGATGAATATCCATGGAATTTGCTTTTCTGCTGCTTATGAAGCTAATTTTTAACCTGTCTTTCATTGGCTTTTTCCCTGGCCAAGAAGAGTGGATTTTGCCTGAATTGATATCCCCCTAGACAAGGGGTCCTCAAACTTTTTAAACAGAGGGCCAGGTCACAGTCCCTCAAACTGTTGGAGGGCCAGATTATAATTGAAAAAAACATGAATGAATTCCTATGCACACTGCACATATCTTATTTGTAGTGCAAAAAACACTTAAAAACAATACAATAATTAAAATGAAGAACAATTTTAATAAATATAAACTTATTAGTATTTCAATGGGAAGTGTGGGCCTGCTTTTGGCTGATGAGATAGGGTTGTTGTTGTTGTTGTTGTTGTTGTTGTTGTTGTTGTTGTGTGTTTTCAAGTAGTTTCAGACTTAGGTTGACCCTGAGTGAGGGCCGGGTAAATGACCTTGGAGGGCCTCAGCCCCCCCCCCCCCCGAAATTCTCATGGTGGTTCGCGAAAAAGGCCTTACTGGTGCATTATTTAAACTGTTATGTTTATTCATATCATGATCTGATCACCATACTCAATATATCCCATATGCATGGGGGTATTGGGGTAACGATACAAAAGGTTTGATAGGCTAGACCCCTTTTCACTCAGACTCACCCCCCCCCCGAAACTCAGCCCCCCCAAAACACCCCCTGAAAAAATTTACCCCCCCCCCCCCCCCCCCCCCGAAACGAAATTCTGGCTACGGGCCTGCAGCCTGCCAACCGTAGCTTCAGGGAAGCGAGGTACAAAATGTTTAGAAAACCATACAGTTTTCTAGCAGCCCTTTAAAGCTTTCCCCCTGCTAGAATTGTCAGTCAGATCCAAACTAGGTTCTGTTCATGAAGGCAGCAACTGTTTGGTGAGAAATTTAAAAGAAAGTAGCAGGAGCAGAGAATAGCATCCTGATTGGAAGCGGAAGGAGAGGAGTTATGGGACTTTAACCTTTGTGTTCCGCAATGTCCCTGGCCAACTTCAGACAGCTATCCCTCCCTCCCACCCCCACCCCCCACTCCCGCCGCCCTTAAATAATTTGCTAAGTGGGGAGCCAAACATTCAGTGTCTTGAGACTGAGGCTCCTTCTACACTGCCACATAAAATTCAGATTATCTACTTTGAACTGGATAATATGGCAGTGTAGAATCAGATAATCCAGTTCAAAGCAGATAATGTAGATTATCTGATTTGATAATTAATCTGGATTATATGGCAGTATAAAAGGGGCTTAGGATTTCAGATGACCAGGGTGTGAATCCCCACTCAGCCATGGAAAACCACTAGAGAGCCTTGTGCACACCACACACTCTAACTCTCTGACGAAGGCAAATGCAAGCCCTCTCTCTAGAAAATATCTAGCTAAGAAAATCCCTGTTAGGGCAGTTAATAGTTTTTGGCAATTGCCTAGGTAAAAATCCAAGCTGCAAGTGATCATCTAATACTAAGTGTGACTCAGTTGTAAATAATGTAAATAAAAATAAGAGCCGCTAAAAGGAGAGAGAAGGCAAAAGTATGATAGCTGGGACCCAATGCTCGTTGCATGGCGCGGGTCAGAATTAGAGAAGCGAAGACGTAACGTATTTTGAATGTGTTTGCATACGATATCTAGATAGCCTTAAGCACTATGCTTGGCTGTTTGTTTCCCCCCCCTCTTTCTGCCCCCCCCCCTTTCCTGGCGAGCTATCTTGCCACGATTTTGTTGCACCTGTGTTTCTCACTCGCTGTGCTGTTTTGGCATTGGGTCCCAGCTATCATACTTTCGCCCAGAGAGACTGTTTGAAGTCTATTAATTGGATGATTAGCAACACTTTGGCTGGCTAATTGTCTGACAATCCCATGACATGTCAACCTTAGGATCACTGCAAGTCAGAACACTTCTGCACTGCCAAATAACCCAGATTATTAAATGAGATAATCCACATTATCTGCTTTGAACTGGATTATATGAGTCTACACTGCCATGTAATCCAATTCAAAGCACATAATCTGCATTTTATATGGCAGTGTAGAAGGGGCCTCAGAAAGAACAAGAAGTCTATATGCAAGGATTTCAGGACAGAATATCATAAAATCAATTTAAAGATGAAAAACATATTAAACAACTTGGCATGTCAAAACAAGACAGTTTAAAGCCAGTTAGAAAAGTTTTAAAACCATTTCACGGCGGGCATCTGTAAAGATTCAACAATTAATCGTGCTACAATTCCACTTGTAATCGCCATGGTTCTATCCTATGGAACCCTGGGACTTGCAGGAGCTTCTCATGTGAGGAAGGTACATTGCAATTAAGTAGGATAATGGCATCTTTGGCTATGATTTCTCATATGATGCCATCCCAATTCTGTTGTTTTCCTGATAGGAGACAGTTTGGAAAATGTTTCATTTGCAAACACAAATAATCCATTAATACCTCCCAATAGGACAACAACAATATAAGAAGCCCTATTGTTATCCTGTTGTAATTGTGACTTACATGACTCATGTGATGATAATAATAATAATAATCTTGTATATTATTATTATTATTATTATTATTATTATTATTTTCTCTTTATTTTTATCTTACTATTTCCTACTTTCCTATCTTCTTACAAATATTCTCCCTCTTTCCCTGTAACTATATAAAATACTTAATAAAAATTATATTTTTTAAAAAAATCTTTATTTATACCCCACCACCATCTCCCCGAAGGGGAATCTGAGTGGCTTACATGGGGCCTAGCCCGGACAACATATTACAGCAAAAATAAAACCAAAACATAAGCAACAGCATCAAATTACATTAACAAAAAAGAAAAAAACATATGAATGCAGTAACAAAATAACATACAATAACACAATTGCAATGATATTGCTGTGCGGGCCTTCCACATAGCCATATAACGCAGAATATCGAGGCAGATAATCCAAAATATCTGCTTTGAACTGGGTTATCTGAGTCCACATTGCCATATAATCTAATTCAGTTTCGATTTTACACAGCTGTGTGGAAGGAGCCTTAGACTTGGAATGGCAAGAACAAGAGCAAAGAAGCATGCACTGGCTCCTGGACAAGCAAGCACACGGGCTCCACAAACCATTGGCCACAAGCGCCACTTGCACTGCATACATTGGTTTACCTGGAAGACGGTGAGTAAAGCCTGGGGGAAAGTGTCAAAAGTGCTGCGTTTGGTCTGGGTCTCATCGAAGTTGAACTTGCCCCCAAAGAGCTGCATGCCCAGCAAGGAGAAGATGATGATGAAAAGGAATAGCAGGAGAAGCAAGGAAGCAATGGATTTCATGGAGTTCAGCAAGGAGGCCACCAGATTGCTCAGTGAGGCCCAGTGCCTGGAAGATAAAGCATCAGGAACACTTGAATCTAATAGTCTTTGGTAGTTTGGCTCACAGGTGAGAACTAACTCTTTAACCAGAATACTGTGGGTCCTCTGATGTTGTTGATTGCAACTCCCATCAGCTTTAGCATGAATAATCTATATAAACAAAAATGTAATGTTCTTTTTTGGTATTAAGATCACTCAAAAACCACTGGATGAATTGACACCAAATTTGGACACAATATGCCTATTAGGCCAATGAGTGACCATCACTAAAAAAAATGATTTTGTCATTTGGGAGGTGTAGTTGCTGGGATTTTCACCTACAGTGAAAAAGCACTCTGAACTCCATCAACGATTTAATTGAACCAAATTTAGTACACACAGAACTCCCATGACCAACAGAAAATACTTGAAGGGTTTGGTGGGCATTGACCTTGAGTTTTGGAGTTGTAGTTCACCTACATCCAGAGAACACTGAGGACTCTAACAATGATGGATCTGCACCAAACTTGGCACAAATACTCAACATGCTCAAGTGTGAACACTGGTGGAGTTTGAGGAAAATAGACATGGACATTTGGGAGTTGCAGTTGCTGGGATTTATAGTTTGAAAATACTGTGTTTTCTGGTGGTCTTCGGTGACCCTTCTGACACCCCCTCACAACCCCCTCCAGGGGTCCCAACCCTCAGGTTGAGAAATGCTGCCTTAAGGCCATCCAGTCCAACTCCCTTCACCAGGGCAAGAAAACATAATTAAAGCCCTCCTGAAAAAGAGCCATCCAGCCATAGATATAGATAAATAGATATGATTAACACACACATATATATGCCAGATATAGTATCATAGATTTCAAAGGGACCTCTACAGAAGGACAATGATATGTTGCATGTTCCAGAGTAGGCAAACCAGACAATCTCTACATCAACACTGACAAGAAATACTGTTTACCCACAAACATAAAGAAATTACATATATTAGAAACCAGCACTATTTTCCAGGTCACCAGACTGGGCCACAGCAACGCGTGGCAAGGGGCATCTAGTAGTGAATAATGCTGGAAGCATCTATCTGAAAGGCCACTCTTTACTCATAGATTAAGCCATTGTGCAATGGTAGGTGGCTACCTAATGGGACACATGTCTACTGTGCAAAAGGTGACATGGAAGCAGAAGTCATCTCCTAAATTCACAATGAAGACGCAAAGCTTTGCATCAGTTACAGTTCTTGTTGTATATACAGCTGGTTTAGGAAAAAGAGGGAGGTGACCCTCAGTTGAGAACATGGTAAAGGTAAAGGTAAAGGTTTCCACTGACATTAAGTCTAGTCATGTCCAACTCTTCGGGGGGAGGGGTGTTCATCTCCATTGTCCGTAGACAACTCCAAGGTCATGTGGCCAGAATGACTGCATGGAGTGCCATTACCTTCCCGCCAACGCAGTACCTATTGATGTACCCATATTTGCAAGTTTTCAAACTGCTAGGTTGGCAGAAGCTAATAATAATAATAAAACTTTATTTATACCCCGCCACCATCTCCCCAAGGGACTCGGAGCGGCTTACATGAGGCCAAGCCCAACAACAATCAATAAAACAGAAAGCAATAAACAAAAAACAATACAATTAATATAGATCACATATAAACAATAACACATAAGGATTTAAAAACCTATAGTCGGGCCAAATGTAATAGTTTAAAATTAAAAATAAACGCTGGACATGAACAAAGGTAAGATATATCTGGTAGGAGGGTTTTGAAAGAAATGAAGGGAGCGCAATCCAACGAATAGTTAAAGTGCTTCTGAGGACATTTTGCTGGGAGATTATTTCCTTATTTCGGGAAGGCACACTGGAACAGCCATGTTTTCAGGCTCCTCCTAAAGACTGCCAATGTGGGAGCATGCCTGATATCCTTGGGAAGTGAGTTCCAGAGTCAGGGGGTCACCACCGAGAAGGCCCTTTCCCTCGTCCCCACGAATCGTGCCTGCGAGGAGGGCGGGAGAGAGAGCAGGACCTCTACAGATGATCGAAGAGATCGTGTGGACACTGGTGGACTTTGGGGAAAATAGAATCTTGACATTTGGGAGCTGTAGTTGCTGGGATTTATAGTTCACCTACAATCACAGAGCATTCTGAACCCCACCAACAATAGAATTGGGCCAAACATCCCACACAGAACCCCCATGTGGGCCACAGCAACGTGTGGCAGGGGACGGCTAGTGGCAAATAAATAAATAAATAAATAAAATACTTGGGGGCAGAAGAGTGTTGGATTTGTAAAGGATTTTGGAATACCTATTTTTGCTTAGACATACATAATGAGATACCTTGGAGATGGGACCACAGTCTAAGCACTAAATGCATATACACCTTATTCACATAGCTTGAAAGTAATTTTATACAATATTTTTTTTCACACAGAATAAGATTTATATACCTTGAACTGTCAGAAAACAAAGGGAAAAACCAACATCTAATATCCTCTAGCAACAACACACCTGACATTAAACTTATTAAAAGTAATAATGACATTTATGTATGCTTCTATGAAAGGTATGGTGCCCCTTCCACTCAGCCAATAACCATCACCTGGTAACTTTGAAGATTCGCAGGAGGCGGACGCAACGGAGCACAGAGATTCCAAGAGGCTGCATGATCTCGAACTCTACCAATACGGTCTCCAGGATCCCACCACACACAACGAAACAGTCAAAGCGGTTGAAGAAACTAACAAAATAGGCCTGTAGGCCCAGGCTATACATCTTCAGCAGCATCTCCATGGTGAACAGTGACAACAGTACTTTGTTTGCATAAGCTGTAGGGACAAAAAACACCAGTATTAGGTTCTTCAGGTGGGGTTCTAACATCACTGGTGATTTTTTTTTTAGAGAAACAGGGAGGAGCTCCGGGTCCAGCTCCTGAAGCACTTTCCCCTTTTGTTTGGCTAAATATTAATATGACACAAATCTAATGCACACCCAAATTTTAGCCAAAAAGGTGAGCATAGCATTGAGTCATGGTCATTTCATTAGAGATGACATCCCTCAAGGTGAGCATTAGATTTTAGTAAATATGGAATATTTGTTTTCCCACACAGTAGAAAGACAACTACCATAATTATTCATCCCTGCATGTGAGAACAAAATAATTGAGAATTTATATTCATACTGTAGGCAACTTCCATATGCCTCAATGTCATTGTGAAACCCCTTGCAGCCCTGCTTTCACCAGAGTAGCTTAAGCTAACTCTGACGCCCTCCAAAGATGCTTTCCTAGCATTCCCTTGCGTGAGGGTGTCTACATTTTTTTCTTCCTTGCAGATCCACCTTGGATTTGAGTGAGCCAGTCGGGTTGGTTGTAATGCTCAGAGGCAATAGTCAGAGTGTTGAGAAAGACAAGGATCAGAACCATCCAGTAGAAAGAGACAGATTTGACAGCCAGGCGACACCTTTTCCGGAGGAGACGGTTGATGCGCCGAAGACGGCGCCTAAGTCAGAAAAAGAAGGAGAGAAGTTGGTGATAATGAATGCCAGAGAGCAGAAGAACACAACACAGATGAGAAGACATATTTCCGTATACTCACCCAAACTTGGTCTTTGCTAGCTTTCCTCTGTGAAGAACAGGAGGGAAGGTAGAGGAAATTAAACAAAACCCTTAAAGTTACAGGGAAACATTCTCAGCCCACGATATTACAAACCATTGTCAATATGTCATAGGGGAATAATTAGCCTCACACTAAATCAGACCCTTGGCCCACCCAATTCAATATTGTCAACTGGTGAGTGAGGTTACTCTTCAATCACTATTAACCAGTAAAAATGAATTAATTATGCTTTAAAAGAAACTGTCTGCCTCTGCTGTAACACAACTTTGTATATAAAAGGTAAAGGTTGTCCCCTGACATTAAGTCCAGTCATGTCTGACTCTGGGATGTGGTGCTCATCTCCATTTCTAAGCCATAGACACCTCCAAGCTCATGTGGCCGGCATGACTGCATAGAGTGCCATTACCTTCCCGCCAGAGCGGTACCTATTGATCTACTCACATTTGCATGTTTTCGAACTGCTAGGTTGGCAGAAGCTAGGGCTGACAGCGGAAACTCACACCGCTCCCCGGAATCGAACCTGCGACCTTTCAGTCAACAAGCTCAGCAGTTCAGCGCTTTAACCCACTGCGCCACAGTTTGTGGGATTAACATAACTCAGAAACCACTGGATGAATTGACACCAAATTTGGACACAAAACATCTATCTGGCCAACAAGTGACCGTCACTAATAAAAACACTGAAAAATACAGCAGAAGAGACTTAAAATGCCAAAAAACAAAAATGCATTACAATGCATGCACAAAACCACATATGTACACACACACATATATACATGTACACAAATATATACATAAATATATACAAACATATATGCACACAAAAACACATACACAGAAAGGGGGAAGGAAAGAGAGAAGGAGGGAGAGAAAAAGGGAAAGAAGGAGGGAAGGAGGGCAGGAAAGAAAGAAAAGTAGAGAAGGAAGAAGAGAAGGAAATAAAAAAGTGAAAGAGGGAAGGAAGGAGAGAAGGAACAAAAGAGAGAAAGAGGGAGGGAGGGAGGGAAGGAAGGAAGGAAGGAAGGAAGGAAGGAAGGAGGAAGGAAGGAAGGAAGGAAGGAAGGAAGGAAGGAAGGAAGGAAAGAGACAAGAAAGGATGGAACCAAAGAGCAAAGCAAGCAAGAAAGGAAACAGGTAAACAAGGAAGAAAGAAGAAGCGAAAGAAAAAGAGGGAAGGAAGGAAAGAAGGAGGGAAGGAAGGAGAGGAAGAAAGATGGAGAGAAAGAGGGAGGGAAGGTTGACCACAGCAACGCATGGCGGTACAGCTAGTTACTTATATACTTATATCCGGACTGGATTTTAGACTCTGATTTTAATAGGTGTGTGTTAATCAATTGTTTTAATTATTGTTTTAATATTTTTGATATTTTAATGCATTGTTGATTATTTTATTATGATGACACTGTATGGTGTTTGCGAGGCCGCCCTGAGTCCTCCCTCGGGGGGGGGGGGGGGGGGGGGGGGTGAGAAGGGCAGGGTATAAATATAGAAAATAAATAAATAAATTATTGCAAGAGGGAAGACTGAACTGAGGAAAGACTAAGAAATACAATGCAACCCCCATACCAACAGGACCAATATCTGCAGTTCCACTTTCCCACATCTGATTAAATATGCCCTCTCTAGGAATTTTCCAGATCTTCTAGGGTAACTCTGTGATAACTTCTAGAAGAAATCATTTATTTTTATATGGTTCACTATTATCCATGGTTTTCTTTTCCATGGTAAGTTCAGGTATGTATTCCCCCGTAGATATGGGAGATATTGTTTGTGATTCTGCCTTATATAGGACCACTGATTCCTTCTTTCCTGGAGGTACTTTCTCTAACAGGGAGAACACCTCCAAAGCATTTCACACAGAGTTTCTCCATTGGGTTGTTGTAGGTTTTTTGGGCTATATGGCCATGTTCTCTCCTGATGTTTTGCCTGCATCTATGGCAAGCATCCTCAGAGATAGTGTATTGTCGAAGGCTTTCATGGCCAGAATCACTGGGTTGTTGTAGGTTTTTTCGGGCTATATGGCCATGTTCTAGAGGCATTCTGACGTTTCGCCTGCATCTATGGCAAGGTAGTGAGGTCTCTACCTCTGAGGATGCTTGCCATAGATGCAGGCGAAATGTCAGGAGAGAATGCCTCTAGAACATGGCCGTTGTGCTGGTACGGCTGTACCAGTAGCTTTAACTTTATTTGCTTTGTATTAAATGTTTGTTTGCAGTCCTAGGTTTCAGAGACTCTGCAGAAAGGTGGCTTCCTTTGGTTGCAGTCATAGGGCAAGTCACCTGTCCATCATCATTAAGTTTTGGTTCCGCCCCTTGCTCAGGGCAATTGGGAAGGGAAGGGAGCCATTTTTAGTTAGTCTCAGCAAGGAAAGCTAATGTGCAGGACGTGTGCAAGCTTCCCCTGTACAAAAGCTTCAACCCTTAAGACTTTCCGGGGGGAAACAGTCTTAAGAGTCTCCAAAGATTTCCAGGTAAACAGCCCTAAAGACCAAAGAACTCCAGCTGGAGAACATCTAAGCCTTTACTGGTAGGTCCACTCGGTGCTTTGAGATGCAGTTCGACCCGGTAGCGGAGCCCACATCAGTAGGGGTTAGATTATAGTCAGCCTGGGAGAAGTTAAAAAGGGGATTTTCCTTTAAATTAAAGAAGAAGTTATTGAAGACAGTTGCCTGTCCTTCGTGGGCAAGTTTAGGAAGCCGCCAGTTGCATAAAAGCCTGGAATCATTTGTTTATCTTTCTGAAGACAAGAGAAGTTTCTGTTTGATTGTTCATTAATAAAGGACTTTGTTATACTTCACAACCCATCTAAAGATCTTTTGTGGTGGAAAACCTCTGAGAACTTCTCTTTGGGGCTCCTGGCTTCCCGCTGGGCAAAGGTTGCACGTTCTGTTCTAAAGGAAATTCTTTACAGGCCCAGCGCGCAATAGAACAGCCATATAGCCTGAAAAAACCTACAACAACCCAGAGGTCTCCATTGTTTGACTTTTCTACTTAAGAGCCTTTAAACAAGAAATGGGAGGGATTGAAAACTTTCACATGAGAAACATACTTTACCCGTGTGGGGTAAACACTAGTAAAGAATCCATATCCCCCATTGCCATTCTACAGGGTACAGTCTTAGCTATCATATAAAATCCAACATTTCCCTACTCTTGTCCCCAATTTTCCCCCTTGGCCAAGCAAACTCACAAACACACGTCACAGCAATTTTTCTCATGGTGTTCTTCATCTCCAACATTCTCTGTATTCACGGAGGTGGTTTCACTGGCAGGAAGGCTGGCTGGTGAAAGAAAACAAAGTGGAGTAAGGTTACTCTGCAGTACGTCGTATGACTATCTAAACCTAAAGTTTGGCATTAAAACTGAAATACTAATTCCCCGGAGTTGTGATCAATTCATATGGTACTTTAATGATTAAAGTGTGTTTAATATTTTTAAAAAAAACTAATTTGGGATTGAATTCCAGGGTGAAAGTAGGAAAATGCACCGGGATTGTGTCGCAGCTGGCTGAGTGTCAGCTGCATTAAGATCACTCTGACCAAAAGGTCATGAGTTCGAAGCCAGCCCGGTTGGAGTGGGTTTCCAACCAATTGTGTAGCCTGTTGTCGACCTTTGCAACCCGAAAGACAGTTGCATCTGTCAAGTAGGAAAATAAGGTACCACCTTAAAAGTGTGGGGAGGCTAAAATTAACTAATTTATGAGGCCATAAAGACTTCAGCAAAAAGCATGCGGGAATGCGGAAGTGCTTCATCAGCATCGCAGATGGACGAGGGAAGCAAGAGCTTCCCTGGCGGCCAGAAAAAGTTAAATAGTCTCTGTGTATGTCTATATATGTTTATATGTCAAAAATTGGCATTGAATGTTTGCCATATATGTGTATACTGTAATCCGCCCTGAGTCCCCTGTGGGGTGAGAAGGGCGGAATATAAAAGCTGTAAATAAATAAATAAATAAATAAATAAATAAATAAATAAATAAATAAAGGGGTCATGGCATTAGGAAGTTTAAGAACCACTGCTCTAGGACCTATTAATTTGAATTTATAGTATTCCATGTTATACATAGAAGTCTTCTCCAGCAATTGCAGATAAGCTGGTCCTAGTGTTCCTGATCCAATAAACTCCAGGATGCAGCCACAGTGTTTAAAGTGAAATCACAGTGATATAATTTTGTAATGTGAAGGGGTTCCATCAATCCAGTGTCCCTAATATAATAAAAATCTAGTGGACAACGTTGTCCTTGGTATAATTATCACAACAATAAGAGCTCAGTAAAATGTGGATGAAATCTAGATGATTACGAAATGGAAACATACAACATCAATACTCTCTCTTCTGAGGCTTAACCTATAAACAGAACAAAATATGAAGACATATGCAAGAAAATGAAGCAATTACTATGGGTGTCGGTGGAATTGCTGTGTTTGAACCATTTCTTCTTCTTCTTCCCTGTTAGGTCTTCCACAGTCACACCTTCCATAACAGAGGGAGGATGAATGAGTGGAGGGATAAACAAAGAGAGGAATAATTCATGAACAAGGTTGAATGTAAATGAAGAACAACATAAATTGACAAGTCACGTGACAATGATGAAAAGAAAAGGGATTTTACATTCTCATTCAAGTTCCTTGTTTGCTTCCAGGGTTTCTGTATTAAGCAGGAACTGGGTGGTTTTTGTTTGACAGTGCCTAGTACTACATGGAAATTACATTTTCTAATGTAGCTTGTTGTGTCGTGTCAGGAGCCACTTGAGAAACTGCAAGTCGCTTCTGGTGTGAGAGAATTGGCCGTCTGCAAGGACGTTGATGTTTTTATCATCCTTGTGGGAGGCTTCTCTCATGTCTCCGCATGAGGAGCTGGAGCTGATAGAGGGAGTTCATCTGCCTCTCCCTGGATTCGAACCTGCGACCTGTCAGTCTTCAGTCCTGCCGGCACAGGGGTTTAACCCACTGCGCCACTGGGAACTCCTCTAATGTAGCTATAAGTGTGGAAGCGCAATTAATTTTCCACACATCACTAGGCCTTCTTGTTTTTGAGTTTGTAACATCCCACTTAGTTCCATTCATAATTATGAGGACTGATTTCATACAAATTAAAAGGATGATTTTTTTTTGTTGTGTCAGGAGCGACTTGAGAAACTGCAAGTCGCTTCTGGTGTGAGAGAATTGGCCGTCTGCAAGGACGTTGCTCAGGGGATGCCCGGATGATTTGATGTTTTTATCATCCTTGTGGGAGGCTTCTCTCATGTCCCTGTGTGAGGAGCTGGAGCTGACAGAGGGAGCTCATCCGCCTCTCCCCGGATTCAAACTTGCGACCTGTCGGTCTTCAGTCCTGCTGGCACAGGGGTTTAACCCACGGCACCACCGGGGGCTCCATAAAAGGATGGTAACACTATGTAACAAATTTTAAGAAATTTCCATTCCTGGTTTTAAATTGTGATTTCCTGTTTAATTGTGCAGTATTTAGTTTGAAAGTAATTGTTATACTCAAGAATCTTCATTTTTGTGGTTGCCACAAACTATGTGAATTGGTTGAAATTCAATATTTATTGAAAACGACAGCAAAATGTAGTGTGGGATGTCCCACAAAAACAAAGCTTTTACAGTTTAATAAACTTTCTCCATGTTTTTATGATAGAACCAATTAGGAAATGATATTTATAACTCAGGTACAAAAATTGTGTTGCATAATATAAGAAACAAGGAAATACAGTCTTATATTGGTGTCTACTAGAAAGGTAATAGTGAACGAATGCTGAAGTGCAAATGGAGAGGCACCTCTCTATATGACACTTCACGTATCAAAATAACACTTTTTAAAAGATAAAGGAATAATTCTAGATACTTTCATGTGGAAACTGTGATATTGTCTGATTTTTTTCTTTTGTTGCTTATTTTGTGCCTTCAAGTCGCGTATGGTTTAAGGCAAACCTATCCTGGGGTTTTTCTGAAGATAAAAATGTGTGTTTCACCCAAGGTCATCCAGTTGGTTTTCATCACCAAGTCGGGATTCAAAACCTATTCTTCAGAATTGGTAATCCACTATGCCCCACTGACTCTCTTTTTTAGGGTGTGTGTGTATATGTTTTTTTCTGTAGTCTTAAAAGGCAGAAGTAGCAAGAAATGCACAATAGAACCACAATGTGGTACTTTTTTGTTTTTTGTCGTGTCAGGAGTGACTTGAGAAATTGCAAGTGGCTTCTGGTGTGAGAGAATTGGGCGTCTGCAAGGACGTTGCCCAGGGGATGCCCGGATGTTTTGATGTTTTACCATCCTTGTGGGAGGCTTCTCTCATGTCCCTGCATGAGGAGCTGACAGAGGGAGCTCATCCGCGCTCTCCCCGGATTCGAACCTGTGACCTGTCAGTCTTCAGTCCTGCAGACACAGGGGTTTAACCCACTGCGCTCCTGGTGGTACTGCAGATACCCTATAAAGCAGTATTTCTCAACCTGGGGGTCGGGACCCCTGGGGGGGGTCATGAGGGGATGTCAGAGGGGTCGCCAAAGACAATTAGAAAACACAGTATTTTCTTTTGGTTGTGGGTGTTCCGTGTGGGAAATTTGGCCCAATTCTATCATTGGTGGAGTTCAGAATGCTCTTTGATTATAACTATAAATCCTAGCAACTACAACTCTCAAATGTCATAGTCTATCTTCCCCAAACTCCACTAGTGTCCACATTTGGGCATATTGAGTATTCGTACCAAGTTTGGTCCAGATGCATCAGTGCTCTCTGCATGTAGGTGAACTACAACTCCAAAACCCAAGGTTAATGCCCACCAAACCCTTCTGGTATTTTCTGTTGATCATGGGAGCTCTGTGTCCCAAGTTTGGTTCAGTTTCATCATTGGTGAAGTTCAGAATGCCCTTTGATACTGTAGGTGAACTATAAATCCCAGCAACTACAACTCCCAAATGACAAAATTAATCCTCCCCTCAACCCCATCAGTATTCAAATTTGGGCGTATCGGGTATTTGTGCCAAATGAATGAAAATACATCCCGCATATCGGGTATTTACAAGATGATTCATCACAGGAGCAAAATTACAGTTGTGAAGTAGCAATGAAAATAATGTTATGGTTGGGAGTCACCACAACATAAGGAACGGTATTAAGGGATCACAGCATTAGGAAGGTTGAGAACCACTGCTAGAAAGTCTGGCAGTTCTAATGGAAGTACCCCAGGACCTCTGAAAATGGTCCCCTTTTTGAGGCTTTTTGATAATGAAGACGAATAAAGGACTGGGATTCATAGAATTTGTCCTTAACTGACCGGGGAGGAAACACAAACGGATGTACTAAACAGGGAAGGCAGTATATTTACTCACAAACAATATCTATTTGCTGTTCTGGCCGTAGCTGCTTTCTCCACCATCCTAGTGACCCCCAAAAGAGCTCACGAGGTCCCATTGAGCTAATTAACTCAATGCCAGCGGTTGTACCCTTGGAACTCCCTGAAAATTTTCCTTGTTGCTGCACACAGCCACGGGGAAGGGGACATGCAAGCAAAACACACTACTAATTAGCTGATTCTGGGCATCGCTGAAGGGCAAAGCATAAACTCTGCACCTCTTCCATTACCAAAAAGCAGCTGGGATGGAGGTGGGGATAAAAGGATGACAAAAACATGTGCTGAGGACTTGAAACTGAAGAGAAATCACCCACCTGGCTCATTGATTTTGCTTTTTTGCCAGCCAGCTGGTTTACATGGCAGAACTATCTCAACTACCGGGTTCTTCTGTTTGGTCCAGCATGTACACATTACACACAACCATGTGACTTTCCCTATTTGCTCACATCTGATCAGGATCCCTTCCCCAAGCTGGCAATTTACTCAGGTTCCTGCTAATCTCGCACTGCCGGGCAGCTTGGATTGATTCCTCTCTAATCCCTTCGCCCAGAGCTGCCACAAGGCCCAGATGGTAGCAGCAGGGCTGCTAACTAAACCACCCTCCAGCACAGCGAGATCTTATGCTCTGACCAAACAGAGCTGGGAGGTGGGGAAACAAGGCAGACAGTGGTGGTGGGGCCCTTACGGGTGTGCTTCTCGTCAACCTCATCCCCTTCGTCATCAGGCTCGATGTCTTCAGCCTGCATGATCCAATCTAGGTAGCCCTTCAGGTCTTCTTCCATCTGCTGCTTCTCTCTGAGCTTTTGGAAGTCACCCCGGGCTTTGGCCTTCTCTCGCTCCTTGGAGAATTCTCTGCGGATGAAAAGAGAGGGTCAAGTTAGGCGGACACTAGGAGGCCTGCTTCTTTCCCCACAGTTGCATCTGTCAAATAGGAAATTCAGGTACTGTTTATGTGGGGAGGCTAATTTACGATGCCATAAAAATCTCCAGCAAGCATGCAAAGAATGAGGAAGTACTTCATCAGTTTCACAAATGGACAGTGAAGTTACATCTCCCCTTGTGGCAAGAATACCCTCATGAAAAAAAAGCTGGAATGTTAAATAGCCTCTTTGTGTCTGTCTATATATGAGGGGTATTTTTTAAATAATGTCCGTTTTGTTGCAGACACTAGTAGTTCGCGTGCATACTGCAACGAGCGTGTGCGTCGTGTACTGGCATGCCTCGGGAACAACTGTGCTCAGTTTCCGCTATGTAGCTAACCTGTACGGTTCTGTTCTGTGCTTTAAAAATGTTTAGGACTATCAACTCACCCTCTGCATGTGAGGTTTGGTCAGTGATACGGTTTTTGTCAGCAAGGAACCTGCCTGCTGCAGAAATTCATCGACAGATTTGTGAAGTATGCAGTGATACTGTTATGAGTGAAAGCAAAGTGCGTAAGTGGGTACGACAATTCAAAGATGGCCGTGACAACGTCCATGATGAGGACCGCTCTGGTCGCCCTTCTTTGATTACAGTGAACACTTGGTTATCGGAGCAGGCGGCAAGTTTTTATGAAGAGGGTATTTTAAAATTGGTTCAGAGGTATGATAAGTGTTTGAACAAACTTGGCAACTATGTTGAAAAATAGAGTGAAGTATGTACTTTCTGAAAATAAATTTACTTTTTTGAAATAAACTTTCGTTGTGTACTTATGTTCAAACTGACCTTACTTAAAAAATACCCCTCGTATGTTGTGTGTCTATGGCATTGAATGTTTGCCATGTATATGTACATTGTAATCTGCCCTGAGTCCCCTGCAGGGTGAGAAGAGCGGAATATAAATACTGTAAATAAACAAATCTTTCTGCAAAGCGTGTGCAGATTCAAAGCTGACCTGCTGGTAGCATGCTCTTTGAACTGACTAGTTGTCATACGTTTGGCACTGCATGACAACTCTCTGGATATTTAAAGCATACACAAAGATGAATCAAAGTAATTAAGTATAACACACACACACATACACACACAGTCTTTATCTCTTTCACAAGGATCATTCACACACAGGGTTATCACTGTTGACATGATTTTCCATAAATTAGTTTTCTCTTTTGACAACTGATTATAAGATTTGGCAGTTACACCAGGCATTTTCTTTTCCTCCCTCTCTCTCTAACTCTCTCTTTTTGGAGGGGCCACCCTCTAATTTGTCTGAATCCATCTCTGTTTTAAATTACAAATCGTTTTAAACAGTTTGAATTGATTTCACTTCTGCACCCTCTGAAATCCCAATATAAGGGTTCAAACAAAAATTCTCTGTGTGCACATGGACATAAGTGTGTGCATAAGACACATTTCCCCCTTCACCATTTTCTCTTCGCCGGGAAGTAGCAACCAATAGTGAAAGGACCAAGGCAGTGACATCTCCAGCCCACCCCCTGTTTGGGTATCAGCCAGCACATTAACAGCTTAAATCAAGAAATAGTTTTCTAAGATCTACAGAGGCACTCGCTGGAACACCTCAGCAAGTGAGAGTCCAAAAGTGGCAGGCTCAAACCCAGAACCTCAATCAATTGCTGATACCAAAGGAGAGACTCCCCCCTGGGCATACGGAAAACTGGGCGACTTGGAAGGTGCTGAACAGACTGCGCTCTGGCACCACGAGATGCAGAACCAACCTTAAGAAATGGGACTACAAAGTGGAATCCATGACATGCGAGTGTGGAGAAGAGCAAACCACTGACCACCTGCTGCAATGCAACCTGAGCCCTGCCACATGCACAATGGAGGACCTTCTTATAGTAACACCAGAGGCACTCCAAGTGGCCAACTATAGGTCAAAGGACATTTAATCAACTACTAAGCTTGCAAACTTTGTGTTTTGTTTATTTGTTTGTTTTTAATGCAATACAACTGTTTGGTTCGCTCCTGACATGATAAATAAATAGTTAATGTTTCACTAGTAACACTCAAGTGTGACCTTAACCATGAACTGTAAATCTAAAACCAACCAAAAAATCTGGGTTGATTTATCCACTGGTCAAGAAACTGTACATTAACTCTTTTCAGAAAAGAACAATCACTTATCTGTGGAACGCCAAAAAATGAAAGCTTGTTCCATCATGGGATAACCTAAAAGATACACCAATCCCCCTACTCTCTCCATCATGACACCGCTTTTGGCCTTTTTGAAAGACTGAGTGGGTAAATGACAGTGGCACATTGGAGGATGAGGAGATTGGTCCCAAAGGGGTGATGCTGGCACTCTTCCCACTGCGGGTCACCACAAAATGCATAATTTTGGCAACAAAACCTTCCCTCAATTTATACAGGGTGAGCCAAAAGCCACAAAGGGGTTGCAAGATTTAATAATCCTTTAATTTTTTGTTTTTAATTTACAATATCATAGCATTATATGAAATCTATACAGGACATTGCAATACAATGCATGTATTTGCTGTAAGTTTTTCGGCCTGTATGGCCATGTTGTAGAAGCATTCTCTCCTGACGTTTCTCCTGCATCTATGGCAGGCATCCTCAGAGGTTGTGAGATGCAGGAGAAACGTCAGGAGAGAATGCTTCTACAACATGGCCATACAGACCGAAAAACCTACAACAACCCAGGGATTCCGACCATGAAAGCTTTTGACAATACATTACATGTAGAATCTTTTCACACTTTTTTCAAAAAATTATTAAAGCATCAGATAGCTTTGTGACTTTTGGCCCACACTTAAACAAAAGTAGACTAAAGTGCTGCTTTTAAACAGTCAGAACTGACCCCAAATGGGGTCTCATAAGAGAAAATGGAAGGCACAAAAATTTGGCAAAAGTTGTGACTGTTGTGGACATTTACACAAATCTGTTAGCAACATGCAGAAAATGCTTCAACTGTACTTCATCTATATAAATAAAAATGCTATGTTTGTTTGTGGGTTTAACATAACTTAGTTTGAGGGCAATTTATACATGAATCGAGCAGTAAACAACATATTACGATCTTCACCAGTAACTTTCAGCATGCCATTCTCTCTCTGTCTCAATATCTCTTCCCCTTATTATTAAAGGAATAATAATTATGACCTACTTTACAGGTTAGGGTAAGGATTACAAAAACATGTGACGCACACTGAACAATAGAAACTCACAATCTAAATGCAAAGTACTGTTTACTGTTGTTAAATCCAAACAGCTTGTCCTGACACACACTATTAAAGTTATTATTATTTTTGAAGTCTGGAATGGTTGCAGCCTAAAGGTAGGTCTGTATGGATTCTCTAAATGGTTCCAGTTCTCATGGGAAAGGATATATATGTGAAAATGCTTTTTTTTAAAAATGCAGGTTGAACATTCATAAACCAAAAGACTGGGCTAAGTTAGATTATCCACACCAGGAGATAAAGTTTCAATGTCTTGCCGATCTCTGTTTCCATTGACGCACACTTAAACAAAAGTAGACTAAAGTGCTGCTTTTTAACAGCCAGAACTGACCCCAAATGGGGTCTCATAAGAAAAAAAGGAGGGCACAAAAAATTCGCAGAAGTAGTGACTGTTTTAGACATTTACACAAATCTGTTAGCAACATGCAGAAAATGCTTCAACTGTACTTCATCTATATAAATAAAAAATGTAATGTTCGTTTGTGAGATTAACATAACTCACAAACCACTAGATGAATTGACACCAAATTTGGACACAATACACCTAACAAGCTAACAAGTCTTTCACTCAAAAAAAGTTGATTTTGTCATTTGGGAGTTGTAGCTGCTGGGATTTATAGTTCACCTACAATCAAACAACATTCTGAACTACACCAACGATGGAATTGAACCAAACTTGTTCTCAAACAGTTCTCCCATGACCAACAGAAAATACTGGAAGGGTTTGGTGGCAGTATCCTTTAGTTTTGGATTTGTAGTTCACCTACATCCAGAGATCACTGTGGACTCAAACAATGATGGATCTGGATCAAACTCTACAAGAATATTCAATGTGCCCAAATGTGAACACTGGTGGAGTTTGGGGAAAATAGAATCTTGACATTTGGGAGTTGTTGTTGCTGGGATTTATAGTTCACCTACAATCACAGAGCATTCTGAACCCCACCAACGATAGAATTGGGCCAAACTTCCCACACAGATCCCCCATGTGGGCCACAGCAACGCGTGGCAGGGGAAAACTAGTCTATATAAATAAAAATGTTATGTTAGTTTGTGGGATTAACATAACTCAAAAACCACTAGACGAATTGACACCAAATTTGGGCACAATACACCTATCAGGCCAACGAGTGACCATCACTCATAAACACACTGAAAAACACAGTGGAAGGGACTTAAAAAGCAAAAAAAAAACCCCACATGTGCAAAAAAGACTCCCCCTGGCAAACAAATCACAAAATAGCATATCCACACTCTCTTCTATAGCTCCCAGCATTCTCTTAGACCAGGCCCTTTAATAGAGGAGGATGATCCAAATGCACTGCTTCCAAGCTGAAAGCTTTCTTCTCCTAGGATTTCTTTGTGACCATCCCAATCTCTGCATATTTCCAATTTCCTATTCCTGGACTACAACTCCCAGCAATCCCCCAGATAGATAGATTAGATGGAGATAGGTAGGTAGGTAGATGGATCAGGAGGACTGCTGGGAGTTGCAATCCAAGAATAGGTAGAGAAGGAAGAATGGGGAGAAAGAGGAAAGGAAAGGAAAGGGGGGAGATGGAAGGGAAGAAGAAGAGAAGGAAGAAAGGAAGGAAGGAAGGAGGGAAAGAAAGAAAAAAGGGAAGGAAGGATAGAGGGAGGAAAGGAAGGAGAGAAAGAAAGAAGAGAAAGAGGGAGGGAAGGTTAGCACAGCAACGCATGGCGGGTACAGCTAGTCTATATAAATAAAAATGTAATGTTTGTTTGTGGGATTAACATAACTCAAAAACCTCTGGGTGAATTAACACCAAATTTGGACACAATACACCTATCAAGCCAAGGAGTGACCATCACTCATAAAAACACTGAAAAACACAGCAGAGGAGACTTAAAATTCCAAAACCCAAAATTTACATCACATCGCATGTGCAAAACCATGTATATACACAAACACATATACTCAAATATATATACAAACAAAACACATATATACAGACTGGGCCACAGCAGCGAGTGGCAAGGGACGGCTAGTAAAAAGTAAAATCAGATTGTTTTGCAAGTCTTGCTAATGCTGATTTGTTATTAGTACATATTTGATTTATATACCTATTTTATATATCTATACATCTGAGGTTGCATAAAAATTCAGAAAGGGAATCACAAGTGGAAAAATATATAAGAAGCTATATGTAAATAAGACTAACATGTAAATAAAGCACAAATATTAAAGCACCTTTGACTGTATAATTTATGCAAACCACAGAATTACCATATATACTCGAGTATAAGCCGACCCGAATATAAGCCGAGGCATCTAATTTTACCCCAAAAAACTGGGAAAATGTATTGACTCAAGTATAAGCTGAGGGTGGGAAATGCAGCAGGTACTGGTCAATTTCAAAATGAAAATAGATACCAATAAAATTACATTAATTGAGGCATCGGTAGGTTCAATGTTTTTGAATATTTACATAAAACTGTAATTTAAGATAAGACTGCCCAACTCTGATTAAACCATTATTGTAACCTTCATGATGGTCCGCGAGAAGGCCTTACTTAAACTTACTTAGGCATTATTTAAACTGTTATGTTTATTCATATCATGATCTGATCACCATGCTCAATATATCCCATATGCATGGGGGTACTGGGGTAATGATACAAAAGGTTTGCTAGGGTAGACCCTCTTTCACTCAGACTCAGCCCCCCCCCCCCCGAATCAAAATCCTGGCTACAGGCCTGAGACTGTCTAACTGATTAAACCATTATTTTCATCTTCTTCAATCTAAAATGTGCTTATGTATCCTTGCAATAATAATAAAGCGAATAAGATAATAAATGTAATAATTTATTGATAAAAACAAATTATTACATTTATTATTATTATTATCATAATTGATAAATATAATGGAAATGTAGTAATAAGAGTTATAATAGAGTAAAATAATAAATGCAAATAATAACAATAATAAAGTACAATAATAAATGTAATAATACCAATAGAGTAACATTATAAATGTAATAATAATAATAATAATAATAATAATAATAATAAAGTAAAATAATAAATAACCTTGACTCAAGTATAAGCCGAGAGGAACTTTTTCAGCCTAAAAAAAAGAGCTTAAAAACTAAGCTTATACTCGAGTATATACAGTAAACTTTTCTTGGTGCAGAATATGGATCATCTTATTGTGAACCTACTTCAGAGTTTACTTTTAGCCCCTGGTGTGAAGATTAACCTCGGTCTAGCAAACTGAATACGTATTACCGTAACGTTAATAAAAGGCTGTTGCATTTCCCCACAACCGTGGCTGATCCGATTCACATGGCGTGCATGCTAGAGTTCGGACTTACCCACTGAGAACACCCAAAACGAGATTGAGTACGAAGAAGGAACCAAAGATGACAAGACTAACAAAATAAAGCCAGGGCAGTTCATGACCCATTGCATCCTGCATCTGGGGAAAAGAGAATGTAAACGTTGAGATAGGAGCTGCACATCTAGATGGATCATTCTGCATTAATTATCTTGGGGAAGTATTAGCCATGCAGTTCCCCAAACCCTTCCCAGTTGGCTTACCCAGTAGAGCACATCAGTCCAGCCTTCCATGGTGATGCACTGGAAAACGGTCAGCATGGCAAAGAAGAAGTTGTCAAAGTTAGTGATGCCACCATTGGGTCCTTCCCACTTGCCACGGCACTCGCTGTTGTTCACTGTGCACTCCCGGCCATGCCCAGAGAAGGCACAAGGTGATGGATCCTCCTCCGCTTCCAAATCTGCAAGGTGGTTGAGAAATTGGAGATGATGTTGGGAAGAAAAGGAATAGTCTATTCCAGGGCTGCACAATCTGACAGTTGTAAAGGGACAATATTTTTAGAAGCCATTTATGCAGCTCATTCTGTCTCCCTGCCTGCCAGGCAGGGGAAGGGCTAACCAGCGGAGGGGAAGACCACCCCCTTCCAAGGGCCTGATGAGGGAAGCCCTTTGCAGGCCACATCTGGGCCATGGGCCATATGCTGTGCACGCCTGCTTTATTCCCATGCTCGGCCTAGTTTTACAAAAGTATTCAAACATGTTGAAATATTCCCCATATTCCCTCTTCACCAAGGGTCATTCAAAATCACATAGAAAGACATCCACTTACCCACTTGGAATGTCTTTTTTTTAGTTATGGCATTTTCCATATTGGCTTCTTCTATTTAACGTTTTAAAACCCAATTTGTAACTTTTCAAAATCAGAACACAACTTTTAATATTGAAATGCCAGGAGTTTCTTAGCATCACAACAACGCATGAAAAGTACATGAAAGAATCCTAGAGTTGGAAGAGACCTCATGGGCCGTCCAGTCCAACTCCCTGCCAAGAAGCAGGAGAATTGCATTCAAAGCATCCCCGACAGAGGGTCATCCAGCCTCCGCTTAAAAACCTCCAAAGAAGGAGCCTCCACCATACTCCAGGGCAGAGAGTTCCACTGCTGAACAGCTCTCACAGTCAGGAAATTCTTCCTCATGTTCAGGTGGAATCTCCTTTCCTGTAGTTTGAAGCCATTGTTCCATGTCCTAGTCTCCAGGGCAGCAGAAAACAAGCTTGCTCCCTCCTCCCTATGACTTCCTCTCACGTATTATACATGGCTATCATGTCTCCTCTCAGCCTTCTCTTCTTCAAGCTAAACATGCCCAGCTCTTTAAGCCACTCCTCATAGGGCTTGTTCTCCAGACTCTTGATTATTTTAGTTGCCCTCCTCTGGACACATTCCAGCTTGTCAACATCTCCCTTCAATTGTGGTGCCCAGAATTGGACACAGTATTCCAGGTGCAGTCTAACCAAGGCAGAATAGAGGGGTAGCATGACTTCCCTAGATCTAGACACTATGCTCCTATTGATGCAGGCCAAAATCCCATAGGCTTTTTTTGCCGCCACATCACATTGTTGGCTCATGTTTAACTTGTTGTCCACGAGGACTCCAAGATCTTTTTCACACGTACTGTTCTCAAGCCATGTATCTTTGCCAGGCCCATAGCCAGGATTTGGATTCCGGGGGGGGGGGGGGGGAGGGCTGAGTTTGATTCTGGTGGGCTGGGTTTGATTCGGGGGGCTGAGTTTGATTCGGGGGGCTGAATTTGATTTGGGGGCTGAGTTTTATTTGGGGGGGCTGAGTTTGATGGGGGGCTAGTTTGATTTGGGAGGGCTGAGTTTGATTCTGGGGGGCTGAGTTTGATTCTGGTGGGCTGGGTTTGATTCGGAGGGGCTGGGGTTGATTCGGGGGGGCTGAGTTTGATTTGGGGGGGGGAGCTAGGATCTCCCTAGCAAACCTTTTGTAGTTATCCCAATACCCCATGCATATGGATATATTGAGCATGGTGATCAGATCATGATATGAATAAACGTAACAGTTTAAGTAATGTACCAGTAAGGCCTTCTTGCGGACACCCTGAGAATTTGGGGGGGGGGAGCCCTCAACACCCCCCCCCCCCACTACGGGCCTGATCTTTGCATTTAATTTTTTCTGCCAAAGTGGAGAAAAAAATAAATGCAATGTTATCTTCTTTGAATATTATCTTCTTCAAAATTGCATCATTTTCATTTAGACATAACTTCTTCACACTACAGAATTAAAGCACAATGATTCTGACTTAACTTCTTCCATGGCAGAGTTTTTTGTTTGGTGAGACACTTCGGCTAAGAATTCTAAACACTGCACTTCATGGAATGACAAATCTTGGGATTCCATAGAATAGGTTGTTGTAGGTTTTTTCAGGCTATATGGCCATGTTCTAGAGGCATTCTCTCCTGACGTTTCACCTGCATCTATGGCAAGCATCCTCAGAGGTAGTGAGTTCCTCACAACTCACAACCTCTGAGGATGCTTGCCATAGATGCAGGCGAAACATCAGGAGAGAATGCTTCTAGAACATGGCCATATAGTCCAAAAAAACCTACAACAACCCAGTGATTCTGGCCATGAAAGCCTTCGACAATACATTCCATAGGATGTTGCAATGACAGTTGCAATTGAATTGCATTGCTTTAATTGTGTACACAACTTAAATTCAGCCACATAGTTCTCATGCAAATTTCATGCAATTGGACTGATCCCATTCCCGAGAGTTTTGGAAATGGAAGGCCAAGGGTTCCCCTCTCACCTTCTTTGCCAGAAGGTGCTGAACTATACCTGAACCGATGATGAAGCAAGTCTTGTGCATCCGGCCAATGAAGAGCTCCAAACCAATGATGGCATAGATGATGATGACAAAAAGGACAAGCAGTGCAATGTGCAGAAGGGGAACCATGGCTTTCATGATGGAATTCAAAACAATGTGCAGGCCTAGTGGGAGGGAAGGATTCAAGTTAAAAGCATTCATTCTGAAGAATTGCAACAGAGTATTGTTTCAACATGCACAGCAGCCTCAATTGACCTGACAGACAGGGATTGCACAGCCCAGGATAGACATCCTTTTTCTCTTGAGAAGAAAGTGCAATTAGAAGAGGGAATCTTATCTTTTTTTAACACAGTCATGCGTAGAGAGAACTAAATCATTTGTCAATGACCTGATTCTATGCCAGGTTTCAAGTATAAGCAGAGGTAGTTGCTTCACAGTAGTCTATTGAAAGTCAACATACTACACTGTTCAAAATTTTAATCTGCATCCGGCCCTGCCATAATGTTTGTAAATCTTTTGTGTGTTAATAATAATAATAATAATAATAATAATAATAATAATACTTTATTTATACCCCGCCACCATCTCCCCAAGGGACTTGGGAGCAGCTTACATGAGGCCAAGCCCAACAACACATCAAAAACAACAAGCAATAAACAAAAATAAACAATACAATTAATATAACTCACAAGTAGACAATAACACACGAGAATTTAAAAATAAATGCTGGACATGAACAGAGGATGTAGGAGGGTTTTAAACCAAAGCTAGAGAACAACCCAACGGGTAATTAAAGTGCTTCTCAGGGTATTTTGCAGGAGATTGTTTTCTTTATTCAAGAAAGACACACTGGAACAGCCACGTTTTCAAGCTCATCCTAAAGACTGCCAAGGTGAGGGCTTGCCTGATATCCTTGGGAATTAGTTCCAGAGTTGGGGGGGGGGGGCAACCATGGCGAAGGCCCTCTACTTCGTCCCCACCAATCGTGCCTGCGAGGGAAGTGGGAGCGAGAGCAGGGCCTCCCCAGATGAACGAAGAGATTGTGTGGGTTCGTACACAGAAATGAGGTGCCATAGGTAGGCGGGTCCCAACCCGTTCAGGGCTTATTGCTTATATGTTCAATTGTATTATTTATATTGTTTTATTTGCTTGCTTGTTTGTGGGTGTATTGTTGTATTTGTATTTGACGGGCTTGGCCTCATGTAAGCCACCCCGAGTCCCTTCACAGAGATGGTGGAAGGGTATAAATAAAGCTGATCTGGCAGGGGTGGTCCATGCCTTGGTCACCTCTAGATTGGATTACTGTAATGCGCTCTATGTGGGGCTGCCCTTGAAAACAGCTCGGAAATTCCAACTGGTCCAACGGGCAGCAGCCAGGATGTTAACTGGGACTCCTTACAGAGAGAGGTCAACCCTCCTGTTCAAGGAGCTCCACTGGCTGCCGTTTATTTTCTGAGCCCACTTTAAGGTGCAGGTGCTTACTTTCAAAGCCCTAAACAGTTTGGGACCATCCTACCTGCGTGACCGCATATCCGTCTATGAACCCACACGTTCACTTTGTTCATCCAGAGAGGCCCTGCTCGTGATTCCGCCTGCGTCACAGGCGTGCTTGGTGAGGACACGAGACAGGGCCTTTTCTGTGGTGGCCCCCCAACTCTGGAACACCCTCCCAAAAGATCTTAGACAGGCCCCTACATTGGCAGTCTTTAGACCCGTCGCAAACTAGGCTCCTGCGGGAGCAAACTGCCAGCACATCCCTGAGGTCATGAGCCTCCGCCTCTCGTCCCGCCCCTTTCTCCGCCTCTTTCTCCGTGCCAGAGTGGTTTTTCCTTTGCTAGGGCAGCATTGCCAGCATACTCTCGTTGTTGGCAGAATTCAACAACGAGAGTACGCTGGCAATGCTGCCCTAGCAAAGGAAAAACCACTCTGGCACGGAGAAAGAGGTGGAGAAAGGGGCGGGGCGAGAGGCGCAGCCTCATGACGTCAGGGACGTGCTGGCACAGTTTGCTCCCGCAGGAGCCTAGTTTGCGGCGGCTGTTAGAAAGAACTTGAAGACCTGGCTGTTCTGATGTGCCTTTCCAGATTATGAATCTCCAATATCAAGTCCCAGAAGCACTTTAGTAGAACTAAGACTGCTGCACACTGCACACTGCACTTACCCTATAATCCTACATACCTCCTGTCACATCAGCACTTTTAATCTTGTACCCATTTCTCTGGCCCGGCCCAGTTTTATAGTGTCTTGATGTATTGTTTATTGCTTGTTGTTAATATAGCTTTAACTGTTTTTAATTTGCTTTAGGTGTTGTATTGTTGTGTTGTGTTTTGAGGCCTTGGCCTATGTAAGCCACATCGAGTCCTTTGGGAGATGCTAGCGGGGTACAAATAAAGTTAATAATAATAATAATTTATTATTATTACAGTGAATATGCTTGTGTGGTGTACAAAGCATGTAATAAAGATATATTAATAAAGAGATATTAACTGCAAAACAGGAGCCCCCGGTGGTGCAATGGGTGAAACCTTATTCCAGTGCTGACTGACAGGTCAGCAGTTCAAATTCAGGGAGAGCAGGTTGAGCTCCCTCTGTCAGCCCCAGCTGCCCATTCGGGGACATGGGAGAAGCCTCCCACAAGGATGGTAAAACATCAAACATCCGGGCATCCCCTGAGCAATGTCCTTGCAGACAGCCAATTCTTACACATCAGAAGCAACTTGCAGTTTCTCTAGTCGCTCCTGACATGAAAAAAACCTGCAACACAACAAGCAGGCACAGGAAGTCATGAGATGTGTCAATAAACTGTGTAGTGAAGATAGCACAAAAAGTGTGCCTATGTGGTTGAATGGTATTTTTGGGCCATTCAGTGTGTGTGAGTGCAAACTAACATTTGATCCTGTTCAAGGTGGTGCAGTGCCTGTGGTCCAATGCAGCAAGTTAAAAGTCAGATGTAATATGACACTGCATGGTGACCTAGTACAGTGTGAAATGAAAGCATTCCCGCCCTGCAATAGGATGCTATCATGTGGAGTATCAAGATGTGGAGTATATGGAAATATAATAGGATGACATAATTTATTTATTATTATTTATTTCATATTCTTCTATCCCACCCTTCTCCCCACAAGGGCAGCCTCACATAGGCATCAACGATGCTTGCAATGTATACATCATAAAAATACAAGTAAAACAGTAAAAACATCTTTAAACATCATACAATAATGTAGAGTATGGGGAGCCAGATATGTGTAGAGCTATAATAGCATGGGGAGCATAACGGAGCAGCTGTACATTATTCTATGGGCATTCAAATTCACAAAGCACCAAGTCCATATACATTACAGCACCATTGTGATCCTTGAGGCACACAGGCAATACGTAGGCCAGTGTGACCACCCATACAATAAGAAGAACTCAAGCTATACGTAATGAGATAAGAGAAATGCTTACTGGGGACACCAGAGACGAGGCGCAGAGGACGCAAGACACGGAAGGCTCTCAGAGCTTTGACATCAAACCCACCCGGCTTCCCACTCATGTGATGGGCTTCTCCAGGTTTGTGAGAAAATTGTTCCAGGATGACGCTGAACAGGCTATAGGAGAAAATGTTGGATCCACTAAGTAGGGTGCACTTTTCCAGAAAGCGTCTTAAAAGAGCTATCCAAGGTACTAAATAAATTTTGAGGAAAGGATGCAATGCCTTGGATAACTCTTTTAAAGCATGGAAAGATTCACTAACTTACTAACAGTGACTATTACATGGCAGCCATTTCATTTCTTCATACAGTGGTACCTCGACTTAAGAGTTTAACTTGTTCTGTGACTGAGCTCTTAACTCAAAATGCTCTTATCTCAAAGCAAACTTGTGCATTGAAATGCATGAAATTGTATTAATCCATTTGGGCCTCCTGCCCCCCCCCCTTTTTTGTTACATGTTTTTAAATAAGAAAATGTACTCTATAAATAACAAATATGGTATAAATACACATTCACATGGAACAGTAAAAAAAGAAATATCAATTTTAAATTGGTAGAAGTGCAAGAAAGCAGAAACATAAAGTGAAGATGCAGAAGCACCATTTTCTTCACACAGTACTCATTCCAACCTCCTTCCCTCTCTTGGTCTCTCACTGCCTCTCTCTTCATGAAGCCAAACATACCAGGAATAAAAACCACACAAAATCAACTAACCCAAAGTTCCTTAAAGGGGATAACAGCAAAGCAGACAGCAGTTTCCCAAAGTGGACAAGACCATGAGGCACAGAGACTGCTCCCTTAAAACCCTGCATTTTCATAGCTAACACTCCCTCTGGTGCTAACTCTGAACTCAAAACACTACTCTTATGTCAAAGCAAAATCCAGGCCAAACTGTAGCTCTGAACTCAAAACACTTTGAAGCTCCACTGTGCAAGCTTTTTGTGCTGTCAGCTTTAATCATATTAAGGCACAACTGTCCCTGTGGCATCTCTTCTCCTTAGCTTGCCCCATTTTTTCTAACTCTTGGAGAGAAATGGATAATTATTTGCTCAAAGTTCAAACAAAATTTCAGAACTCCTGATCCGTTGGTGGGCTATCATCCCTCAAACCAATTGCCTAATATTAGATACCTAATGCAGGGGGAAATTAATGGACTAGAGCCATCTTGTGGAATTACTCCAGCATCCATAGAGTTGATCTCTAAAGTGAGAGGTTAGGGGTCACCATGAATGTTTGTTCATTCTTGGATGCAGGAGAACCAATGTACTCAATTATAGGTCATTCCCTTACATGGCAAATGAGAAGGTTGGCATGCAAAAGAACAACCCATGAGTGAATAAACTGTTCTTCTGTGCCATCCAAATAATATTTGTGTGACAGATGTATCAGAATATGAAAACAAATCCATTTTACTTCTTAGGGGCAGCTCTTATAAAACTAAAATGTATTTAATGCATTGTTTTGTCATGCTACACATCTTCCAAGGGAGTGTGGGGCACAGACTTCTGTTCATTGCTAAGTAAAGACAAATCACTGCCAATGAAGCAAATCTCTGTACTTCTCATATAGCCCATTGTAAGAAATTTCTGATGATAAGACATCCTACAATTTTGTAATCCTTTTTTTAACTTTGTTGTTCATTTTTTCAGTCGCTTCCAACTCTTCGTGACCTCATGGACCAGCCCACGCTAGAGTTCCCTGTTGGCCATCCCCATCCCCAGCTCCTTCACAGTCAAGCCAGGGTCAATCCAGTCACTTCCATTTTTCCCAGCATAATTGTCTTCTCTAAGCTTTCCTGTCTTCTCATTATGTGGCCAAAATACTTCATCTTTGCCTCTAATATCCTTCCCTCCAGTGAGTAGTCAGGCTTTCTTTCCTGAATTATGGACTGGTTGGATCTTCTCGCAGTGCAAGGCACTCTCAAAACTTTCCTCCAACACCACAGTTCAAAAGCATCTATCTTCCTTCGCTCAGCCTTCCCTAAGGTCCAGCTCTCACATCCGTAGGTTACTACAGGGAATACCATGGCTTTGACTAGGCGGATCTTTGTTGCCAGTCTGATGTCTCTACTCTTCACTATTTTATCGAGATTGGTCATTGCTCTCCTCCCAAGAAGTAAGCGTCTCCTGCTTTCCTGGCTGCAGTCTGCGTCTGCAGTAATCTTTGCACCTAGAAATACAAAGTCTGTCACGTCCTCCACATTTCCTCCCTCTGTTTGCCAGTTATCAATCATTCTTGTTGCCATAATCTTGGTTTTTTTGATGTTTAACTGCAATCCAGCTTTTGTGTTTTCTTTTTTCACCTTGATTAGAAGGCTCTTCAGTTCCTTCTCGCTTTAAGCTATCAAAGTGGTATCATCTGCATATCTAGGAGCCCCCGGTGGCGCAGTGCCGGCAGGACTGAGGACTGACAGGTCGCAGGTTCAAATCCGGGGAGAGGCGGATGAGCTCCCTCTATCAGCTCCAGCTCCTCATGCAGGGACATGAGAGAAGCCTCCCACAAGGATGATAAAAACATCAAATTATCCGGGCGTCCCCTGGGCAACATCCTTGCAGATGGCCAATTCTCTCACACCAGAAGCGACTTGCAGTTTCTCAAGTCGCTCCCGACATGACAATTTTTTTTAAAAAAAATCTGCATATCTAAGGTTTTTAATGTTTCTTCCAGCAATTTTTACCCCAGCCTTGCATTCATCAAGCCCTGCACATCACATGATGTGTTCTGCATACAAGTTGAATAGGTTGGGTGAGAGTATACAACCCTGCCGTACGCCTTTCCCAATCTTGAACCAGTCTGTTGTTCCATGGTCAGTTCTTACTGTTGCTACTTGGTCCTTATACAGATTCCTCAGAAGAGAGACAAGGTGATTTGGTATGCCCATACCACCAAGAACTTGCCACAATTTATTATGATCCACACAGTCAAAGGCTTTAGAATAGTCAATAAAACAGAAATAGATGTTTTTCTGAAATTCCCTGCCTTTCTCCATTATCCAGCAGATATTGACACTTTGGTCTCTTGTTCCTCTGCCTTTCCTAAACCCAGCTTGTACATTTGGCAACTCTCTTTCCATGTATTGCTGGAGTCTTCCTTGCAGGATCTTGAGTTTTACCTAACTAGCATGAGAAATAAGGGCCACTGTACGGAAGTTTGAGCAGTCTTTCGCATTTCCCTTTTTTGGTATGGGGATATAAATTGATTTTTTTTTCCAGTCTGATGGCCAATCTTGTGTTTTCCATATTTGCTGGCATACCTTTTTTAACTACAAAAAATGTTACTATTATTAATATTATTTCATTTATATGGCACAATTTTTCCAATACTGGAAGTCAAATCAGCATAGAAACATTGAAGCAAATACAGTTTGAAGTACTTTGAAAAACCTAAGTAAAAACAGATGCAATATTTTTGTGAAAAAGCAAGATGTCCAAAATGGTGTAAGGGTTTCAGCATTATTACTACTCTAGCGACCTGTATTGCACCATGCTTTTGCCCATGAAAACCCACTGGGAGACCTTGAGCAAATCGTTTGGCCTCAGAGGAATGCAATGAAAAACCTCTTCTGAATAAATCTTGTCAAGAAAACCTCATGATAGGGTTCCCATAAGTCAGAAATAACTTGAAGGCATGCAACAAAGACCAACAAAGCTATTCAGAGTATATCAATTAAAAAACAAATGATTACTCTTATCTAGTCATTTATTTATATTTATACTTACCCCACCACAACAATAACAAAATCGAGAAGGTTCCAACCATTCCGGATGTAGGCGCTGGGATGCATGACCAGACCATAGGCCAGGATCTTGAGGAACGTTTCCACCGTGAAGATGATGAGAAAAATATATTCCACTTGTTCCTACAGTGTGGGGAGAAAGAAGTCCAAGAAGGCACACATTAAGTTTTCCAGAATTTAGATCTTGAGAAATATATATTAATCGCATCATTGGGGCTTGATGGTTGAACAGAAGCTCTCCGAAGTCCTAGGTACTCTTACTGCCTATTAAAGGGAAAACCAGCTGATCCTTAATCCATCTAAAACACAGACATCTGCTTTTCACCTTAAGAACAGACAAGCATCCTGAGCTCTGAGGATTACCTGGGAATGAATCCCACTGGAGCATTGCAGCACACCCAAATACCTGTGAGTCACTCTGGACCGTGCCCTGACCTACAAAGCACTGCCTGAATATCAAGCAAAAAGTGGGCACTAGAAATAATATCATACGAAAGCTGACTGACACAACCTGGAGATCACAACCAGACACAGTGAAGACATCTGCCCTTGCACTATGCTACTCTGCTGCTGAGTATGCATGCCCAGTGTGGAACACATCTCACCACGCTAAAACAGTGGATGTGGCTCTTAATGAGACATGCCACATTATCATGGGTGTCTGCGCCCCACACCACTGGAGAAATTACACTGCTTAGCCGGTATTGCACCACCTGACATCCGCCGGGAAGTAGCAAAAAGTGGGTGCTAGAAACAATATCATACAAAAGCTGACTGGCACAACCTGGGGATCAAAACCAGATACAGTGAAGACACCTGCCCTTGTGCTGTGCTACTCTGCTGCTGAGTGCATGCCCAGTGTGGAACACATCTCACCACACTAAAACAGTGGATGTGGCTCTTAATGAGACATGCCGCATTAGCACGGGGTGTCTGCGCCCCTACACCACTGGAGAAATTACACTGTTTAGCCGGTATCGCACCACCTGACATCTGCCGGGAAGTAGCAAAAAGTGGGTGCTAGAAACAATATCATACGAAAGTTGACTGGCACAACCTGGGGATCGCAACCAGATACAGTGAAGACATCTGCCCTTGCGCTATGCTACTCTGCTGCTGAGTATGCATGCCCAGTGTGGAACACATCTCACCACGCTAAAACAGTGGATGTGGCTCTTAATGAGACATGCCGCATTATCACAGGGTGTCTGCGCCCTACACCACTGGAGAAATTACACTGCTTAGCCGGTATTGCACCACCTGACATCCGCCGGGAAGTAGCAGCCAATAGTGAAAGGACCAAGGCAGAGACATCTCCAGCTCAGGCATGTAGCCGGGGGGGGGGGGGGCTTGGGGGGCTTCAGCCCCCCCCCCCCGAAATTCTCATGGTGGTTCGCAAAAAGGCCTTACTGGTGCATTATTTAAACTGTTATGTTTATTCATATCATGATCTGATCACCATACTCAATATATCCCATATGCATGGGGGTATTGGGGTAATGACACACACAATGGAGGACCTTCTCAGCCAGTATTGCACCACCTGACATCCGCTGGGAAGTAGCAACCAATAGTGAAAGGACCAAGGCAGTGGCATCTCCAGCTCATCCCCTGTTTGGATATCAGCCAGCACGTCAACGACTTAAATCAAGAAATAGTTTTCTAAGATCTACAGAGACACTCGATGGAACACCTCAGCAAGCGAGAGTCCAAAAGTGGCAGGCTCAAACCCAGAACCTCAACCAATGGCTGATACCAAATGAGAGACTCCCCCCTGGGCACACAGAAAACTGGGTGACTTGGAAGGCGCTGAACAGACTGCGCTCTGGCACCACGAGATGCAGAGCCAACCTGAAGAAATGGGGCTACAAAGTGGAATCCACGACATGTGACTGTGGAGAGGAGCAAACCACAGACCACCTGCTGCAATGCAACCTGAGCCCTGCTACATGCACAATGGAAGACCTTCTTGCAGCAACACCAGAAGCACTCCAAGTGGCCAGATACTGGTCAAAGGACATTGAATCAACTACCAAGCTTGCAAACTTTGTGTTTGTTTGTTTGTTGGTTGGTTGGTTTGTTTTTTTGAAAATGCAATGTAACTGTTTGGTCTTCCCCTGACACGATAAATAAATATTGGGGCTTCAAAAGTAAAAGCCATATCAAATGTTGCAAAACCTGGGCAATCCCAAAGAGCTCCATCTGCAACTATTACAAAAGGCCCATGGTTCTGGTTCTAGAAAGCCAAAATCAGAAGCAGTGAGAGGAAATTTTGATCTAGAAACAAAAATGACGAGGATTTCTCTGGATTAGCAACATCTCAGTTCAACACCGACATGAGCAGCTTACAGAGCCAGGAGTGACACACAAATACAAATGCCAGCAGGGAATATATGTTTGCACTGTAAGTGTGGCAGCATGGAAGCATGCACCCTATTTAGCAGTATGGAGAATTAGGAAGTCACACACAGAAGAAGAAAAAAGCCGATATAGACCTATATAGAGCCAGGGATGCAGGTATATAGTTCATCCCTACTATATCCTCTCCAAAAGGAATCACTTTCCTGCACAACCAAAAACAGAATGCCATCCACTAAGTACTCCCCATCCCTCCTTTCACTTTGTTTCTGCAGTAGTAAATTATTTCCTCACTTGCAACTGAGAACCCAGCTCTCCATTTTGCCATTGTAAATTATGTGCAGTGTGGGATCTGTACATTTCTCCATGATTATATTTCAGGTAAAGGGACAGGATAGAGAAATGAGATTGGGTTCTGCCCCTGACCTCAGTACTTTGAAGTATATCTGGATTTACCCCCGGAGAAGGTAACAGGAATCAGGAACTGGCCACCATCCAGTTTCACCAAGGGATTATTCTGGATTTACTCTGGGGAAGCTGAGCTCAAACTCTAGCGCTGACCCCAGTTGCAATCAGCAGATGAATTCAGTTTCACGGGAGAGCCACTCAATGATCGCTTCAAGATCCTCTGCTAGTTGCTTGAATCAGGCCAGTTTCATGACGGCCGAGAAAGACAAGGCAGAGGGGTGGGGGCAGTTGCCTCAGCTGGCCTCAGTCAGGTGGTGGATTAATGGTTATTAAGAGATAATAGTTTTAATTAGCATTAACGTGTTGCCTTTGGCAGAAATCAAGAGGTAAAGATGGAATAATTAAGGAAGGATGCTAGGAGTAAGAGGTTATTGGGTTAGGAGAAGGCGGAAGGAGGCATGGGGGAGAAAAAGAAAGGCCCTGATCTGGATTTCTAGGTTCTTTGAGAGGAAATTTATGCACAGTGGGTAAGAAGAAGGCAACTGGGAACCATGCTTCATGGCTTTATCTGAAGCTGCCAGGTGTGTTCAGGCTATTTGTCCCTCTAGCTCAGTGCTGCCTAGTTAGGTTGAGACCAATTCTCAGGGGTCTGAGAACTGCTGTCCAACCAGCTGTTCAAAATAGTTTGAACTGAAAATGTCTGGAGTTCAATGTATAAGCATGCAAAACAAGCATAGCTCATCTACTGAGCTACTACATTCCTTCCAATGTTTTGGAGCTAAAAACTAGGACACATGGTGCCATGCGACATCAGAGTGTAGTCAAGACAGTAAAAGTTATTGATAAGAAATAATAATAATACGAATAATAATAAACTATATTTATACATCGCCGCCAAGCCCAAAATAATACAACAAAATTATACACAAAATAGCAAAGAACAAATCATAACAAATCATATATCATAACAAATATATATTAAATAACAAATACTGTATATACTTGAGTATAAGCCTAGTTTTTCAGCCCCCCTTTTAGGCTGAAAAAGTCCCCCTCGGCTTATACTCGAGTCAAGATTATTTATTATTTTATTCTACTACTACTACTACTACTACTACTATTATTATTATTATTTTGATTACATTTATTATTTTACTCTATTCATTATTGCTATATTTATCATTTTATTCTATTATTACATTTATTATTTTACTTATTATTGTTATTATTACATTTATTGTTTTACTCTATTATTGTTATTGCATTTATTATTTTACTCTATTATTGGAAGGATACGTAAACGCATTTACATTGAAGAAGGTGAGAATAATGTTTTAATCAGAGTTGGACAGTGTTATCTCAAATTACAGTTTTATGTAAATATTCAAAAACATTTAATCTACTGATGCCTCAATTAATGTAATTGTATTGGTGTCTATGTTTATTTTGAAATTGACCAGTAGCTGCTGCATTATTATATTTACATTATTTTGCTCTATTATTATTCTATTTATTATTTTGCTCTATTATTATCACACTTACAGTATTTATTATTATTACACTTACAGTATTATTACTCTTACAGTATTATTATTACACTTGCAGTATTTACACTTAACTATTATTATTATTATTACATTTATTATTTTAATCTATTTATTATTGTTATTATTATTATTATTACATTTACAGTATTTTACCCTATTATTACGACATTTATTATTTTACTCTATTATTACTGTTTTTATTGCATTTTCATTATTTTACTTGATTATTTTAATTATTTTAATAATAACTACATTTACATTGAAGGAAGTTAGAATAATGTTTTAATAAGAGTTGTACAGTCTTATCTTAAATTACAGTTTTATGTAAATATTCAGAAATCTTTAGCCTATTGATGCCTCAATTAATGTACTTTTATTGGTATCTATTTTTATTTTGAAATAGACCCATAGTGGATGCATTTCCCACCCTCGGCTTATACTCGAGTCAATATGTTTTCCCAGTTTTTTGTGTTAAATTAGGTGCCTCGGCTTATATTCGGGTCGTCTTATATTCGAGTATATACGGTAAAATAAAATAGACAAAATAAAATGACATAGTAAAATCAAATACAAAGGGTGGGCCAGATGTGTGAGATAAAATGTTAAAGGTTAAAACCCTGGGTGAGATAGAAATGAAAAGTGAATTTATGAGAGAGGAGTCCGAGAAGCAGGAGCAGTGGGGTTTGGCCTTTATAGGGGACAAGGGAAGGTGCTTTGTCATAAGGACAACTGTAGATGGAAACGAACAAATGAGTTGAGTGGTCAACTCTCCAAAGGCACATCAGAAGGGCCAAGTTTTTAGATCTTTCTTGAAAGCAGCTAAGGTAGCGGTTTGCCTTATCTCCCTAGGTAACAAGTTCCAAAAATGGGGGGCCACAGCGGAGAAGGCCCTCTCCCTTGTTCCCACAAGTCAAACCTGTGATAGAGGAAGGGGCAAAAGAAGGGCCAGAGGATCAAAGAGATCGTGCAGGTTTGTGGTAGGAGATGCACAAGATAGGAGAGGGAGAAGCACTTTGCCTGAGCTTACAGGGAAATGAATCATCTCTCTCCCTTTCCCTCTCCCACTGCTAATTAAATCAAACATAGACTACTTTTGCATGTTTCCATGTTTGCAGCAATCACAGTAAGCTGAGAATGAAAGGGAAAGAGGTGAGAGCAGCTAGGACATTTTTTAAATCAGCTGGAAAAGTGAGATGGCAGAGGATTAAACAGCAACATCCCTTCCAAACTGGGACAGTTGAAGGGTATGTCATAATATCTTTCCTATTGCTGCAACCACATCCAAACAACTTTGTTTTAACCAGTCTTATAAAAGGTACTCACCAAGTTGTGGTTGGCGACATTGGAGTCATCCTCAGGGAAAGGGATATAGACTCCTAAGGCCACACAGTTGGCGAAGATGGTCATAAGGATGAGGATGTCAAAGGGCCTGGGAAACATTTGGTTAAGGAATCAAACAGAAAGATCTTCTCTTCCTAACCCCCTCCCGACTCAAAAAGACAGCAACCAATCCCACCCCACCCTCCCAACTTGTAAATGAAGGATGCTTCCATTCAACGATGCTGATTGCAGCCCGGCGGATGGGATTGTTCAGCCTGAGGCAGAAGAGGGCACGGGGTGAACGATGGACCACATTGGTGCCCTGGGTTTTGTGCTTGTTGTGCTGGAGTTTCTTCTTCTGAGCGTTGCTTCCTGTAGAGCCCAGAGTATCTGTGCCCCCGTTTGTCAGCGTCCATGCCAGGGCCTGGCCTGTTGCCTCCACAAAAGCCTCAGCCGCCGAGCGTGGTATTTCAGGAGGCTCCGTCGCTGTGGGCAGGAAGGAGAGGGGAGGGAGGTTTTAGATGGACTCTAAATGCCTTTAGAAATTTCAATATCATGTTCCTCAGCAAAAGCACCAATTAGGCAGTTTCCATTCATTAAAAATGTAAAGTGCAACATATACGACGGCATGTTTCCAGCAAATGGAAGACAAAATGGAAACCTCTGTGAAAACTGATCAGAATAAAAACCTTCATCCTTCATCTATTAATTCACACGCATCTAAACCTGCATGTCAGCCCCAGTTGTATATCAAAAGGCCTCTCTTGTTTTGGTCACTGTTTACGTCAAAAATCTGACTTACTTCTAACTTCAGCATCTCGGCATTCCTCGTCTCCAAGAGCCACCGTAACACCAAAGTTTTGCCTGACGCTTGTAACAGCTGGAATACAGATCAGCCATCTTCTGCTAACCCCTAGAAGCCTATTTATTCCAGTACTCCCTACTTACCACTATTTTATTCCTCAGTGGCTTCTGAATTAATTCCATAGGGCTGCAATCTAATTCCTAAGGATGACGTTCCTTTGAACACAACAAGTTTTCTAAGATCTGAGTAAGCATGCAGAAGGACTCAGCTGTCAAAGTCCTACTTGTCTCACTCCAAAACCCTTTCCCCCACCCTGGTTAACCAAACACATCGACATGGGGTCACTCACGTCCTCCGTTGCACTCCGACTCCGACATCTTGCTGTCTTGTTCCTGGGGGTGGGTGGCTGGAAGGATTGAATGGGCGGATGTGTCACTGCCCAAAAGATGCTAGCACTTTGGCCCAAATGTTTCTCCACCTTGTAGAGGAGGACCTTCCATTCTTTTTGGCCTTTCTCCCTGGGTGGGGAGGAAGGGCCAGGTTAGCCCCAGTTGCTCTCATGGGAGAGCCACACTGGGACCCTTGCTAGCTTCTCCCTCGGATGTCAACTCCGATCCTAGTTTTCACCAGGGGGTTCCTTCTAAAAGGGATCTGAGCCCCCCCGACTGTGCCTGTTTCATGCTCTCAGCTTGCTCCCTCTCTTTCTCTCTCTGCCGCTCTCCCTACTTCGTTCCCTCGCTTGGTTGAGGATTAAGGCAGATTGCCTACTTTAAAGGGCAGCGCGGGAGGCAGGGAGGAGGGAGCTCACAGCTGGTTAGGTCACTGACTGTGGAGAGCTGGGGACATCCCAGCCGGACAGCCAGCCATCCAAGGCCAGGCAAGGCTGAGAAAAAGGGACTAGGCTCAGTAATGGGAGTGAAATGGGAATAGCCATGACCTAATATAACTGTCTGCAGTTGAGGGTTTGGGGAGCAGCAAAGGGCAAACTCTTGCAAGTAGAGCCAGTCCTCTGTATCCTCAGATTCTGCATCCACAGTTTCAATCATCCACAACTTGAAAATATGTTTGTATACACACACACACACACACACACATATATCCAAAAAACAATCCTTGACTTTGCTATCTATATATATAAAAATGCTCTGTGCATAATGAGTACCTTAGAAACAAAAGAACCAATGAATGAAATCACACCAAATTTAGCAACAAAACATCTCACAACACAAGGAGTGACCATCACTCAAAAAATTATGATTTTGTCATTTGGGAGTTGTAGTTGCTGGGATTTATAGTTCACCTACAATCAAAGACCATTCTGAACTCCATCAACAATGGAATTGAACCAAACTTGGCACACAGAACTCCCATGACCAAAAGAAAATACTGGAAGGATTTGGTGGGCATTGACCTTGAATTTTGGAGTTGTAGTTCACCTACATCCAGAGAGCACTGTGGATTCAAACAATGATGGATCTGGACCAAACTTGGCACAAGCACTCAATACGCCCAAATATGAACACAGATGGAGTTTGGGGGAAATAGACCTTGACATTTGGGAGTTGTAGTCACTGGGATTTATAGTTCACCTACAATCAAAAAAGCATTCTTAACTCCATCAATGATGGAATTGAACCAAACTTGGCACACAGAACTCCCATGACCAACAGAAAATACTGGAAGGATTCGGTGGGCATTGACCCTGAGTTTTGAAGTTGTAGTTCACCTACATTCAGAGAGCACTGTGGACTCAAACAATGATGGATCTGGACCAAACTTGGCACAAGCACTCAATACGCACAAATATGAACACAGATGAAGTTTGGGGGAAATAGACTTTGACATTTGGAAGTTGTAGTTACTGGGATTTATAGTTCACCTACAATCAAAGAGCATTCTGAACCCCAAAATGACAGAATCAGGGCAAACTTCCCACACAGAACCCCCATGACCAACAGAAAATACTTAAGGCCATCCAGTCCAACTCCCTTCGTCAGGGCAAGAAAACGCAATCAAAGTCCTCCTGACAAAGAGCCATCCAGACATAGATATAGATAGATAGATAGATAGATAGATAGATAGATAGATAGATAGATAGATAGATAGATAGATAGATAGATAGGAGTCTACCGTATACCATGCAGCTGTGGACAAGTCTACATAGGGACCACCAAACGCAGCATTGCCCAAACACGAATCAAAGAACATGAAAGGCACTGCAGACTACTTCAACCAGAGAAGTCAGCCATAGCAGAGCACCTGATGAACCTGACACAGGATATTATTGAGAACACAGAAAATGCTGGACCACTTTCACAACCACCATGCCAGACTACACAGAGAAGCCATTGAAATCCACAAGCATGTGGACAATTTCAACAGAAAGGAGGAGACCATGAAAATGAACAAAATCTGGCTACCTGTATTAAAAAACTCTAAAATTACAACAGCAAAACAGCAGAGAGGAAACAACCAGGCACATCTTAACACCTCTCAACAAAAGATTTTCCCAGGCTCAGCCAGGCATTCAAATGCTAATGAAGGTGGTCAGTTGAAACATTCACACCTAGCTCCAGCAGAGAAGAGCTCTTTGCCCCACCCCAGCCATTCCACAGATATATAAACCCATTGTCCTAATTCCAACAGACCTCACTACCTCTTAGGATGCTTGCCATAGATACAGGCGAAACGTCAGGAGAAATGCCTCTAGAACATGGCCCTATAGCCCGAAAAAACCCACAAGAACCTAGTGATTCCAGCCATGAAAGCCTTCGACAATAGATAGACAGATAGACAGATAGATATGATTCACACACACACAGATATAGTATCATAGATTTGAAAGGGACCCTTAAAGAAGGACAATTATATGTTGCCTGTTCCAAAGTAGGCAAACCAGACACTCTCCACTAGGCCTGGTTGATCAAGAAAAAATTTGGTTCTAAAATCGATTTGTAATTGGGGTGTTTTTTTGTTTCGATATTTAAAATAATTACAAAATTTTCCCCCTACAATCCGTTAATATTTACGGAAATTTCGTAAATATTAACGAATTGATTCGTTAAGATGGCGGACCCCCGTGCATGCGCAAAACCACTTCCGAAGTTTCGTTATTGGCGCGAGGGTCGATTCGTTAAGGGTATAACGAATCGATTCGTTAAAATGGCGGACGCGATCGCGCATGCGCAAAGCGGCTTTTGAAGCATCGTTATTAAATACGATTCGATTCGATATTGAGATAATAACGAATCGATTCGTTAAAGCGAATATTTTGTATTTTTTTAAGAATAAAAGACAGGTATTTTTAGAAAATATTCAAAAATGGAAAATTAACCAAAACTGGCCCTGATGAGCTAACACAGCCACGAGACAGGGCAAGTGAGAGCACACACCAACAGAAGAGTCTTTTCTTTTTTTGGAATATTTTTTGTATTTTTTAAGAATAAAAGGCAGGTATTTTTAGAAAATATTCAGAAATGGAAAATTAACCAAAACTGGCCCTGATGTGGACCAAACACAGCCACGAGACAGGACAAACGAGAGCACACACCAACAGAAGAGTCTTTTCTTTTTTAGAATATTTTTTGTATTTTTTTAGAATAAAAGGCAGGTATTTAAAATATTCAGAAATGGAAAATTAACCCAAAACTGGCCCTGATGAACAGCTAACACAGCCAAAAGACAGGGCAATCGAGAGCAAACACCAACAGAAGAGTCTTTTCTTTTTTAGAATATTTTTTGTATTTTTTAAGAATAAATGGCAGGTATTTTTAGAAAATATTCAAAAATGGAAAATTAACCAAAAACTGGCCCTGATGTGGACCAAACACAGCCACGAGACAGGACAAATGAGAGCACACACCAACAAAAGAGTCTTTTCTTTTTTAGAATATTTTTTGTATTTTTTAAGAATAAAAGACAGGTATTTTTAGAAAATATTCAAAAATGGAAACTTAACCAAAAACTGGCCCTGATGTGGACCAAACACAGGCAGGCGACAGGGCAAATGAGAGCACACACCAACAGAAGAGTCTTTTTTTTTTTTGGTTATTTTTTGATTTTTGAAGAATAAAAGAGAAATATTTTTCAGTAATATTTAAAAATGGAAAATTAACAAAAACCTTGCCCTCTTGTGGAGCGAACACAGCCACAGGACAGGGAGAAACGCACACACAGGCACACAAGGGTCTTTTCTTTTTTTAGGTTTTTTTTAATTGTTTGAAGAATAAAAGAGAAATATTTTTCAGTAATATTTAAAAATGGAAAATTAACAAAAACCTTGCCCTCTTGTGGAGCGACACAAAGCACAAAGCAAAGTAGTACGCATCAGGGCAATGTTCCCGCGTTCAGCAGGCAGTGGTAATGTGAGGCAACACAAAGCACAAAGTAGTACGCATCAGGGCAATGTTCCCGCGTTCAGCAGGCAGTGGAATGTAAGGCAACACAAAGCAAAGTAGTACGCATCAGGACAATGTTCCCGCGTTCAGCAGGCAGTGGTAATGTAAGGCAACACAAAGCACAAAGCAAAGTAGTACGCATCAGGGCAATGTTCCCGCGTTCAGCAGGCAGTGGAAATGTGAGGCAACACAAAGCACAAAGTAGTACGCATCAGGGCAATGTTCCCGCGTTCAGCAGGCAGTGGAAATGTGAGGCAACACAAAGCACAAAGTAGTACGCATCAGGGCAATGTTCCCGCGTTCAGCAGGCAGTGGAAATGTAAGGCAACACAAAGCACAAAGTAGTACGCATCAGGACAATGTTCCCGCATTCAGCAGGCAGTGGTAATGTAAGCAACACAAAGCACAAAGCAAAGTAGTACGCATCAGGGCAATGTTCCCGCGTTCAGCAGGCAGTGGTAATGTAAGGCAACACAAAGCACAAAGTAGTACGCATCAGGGCAATGTTCCCGCGTTCAGCAGGCAGTGGTAATGTAAGGCAACACAAAGCAAAGTAGTACGCATCAGGAAAATGTTCCCGCGTTGAGAGGCAGTGGTAATGTAAGGCAACACAAAGCACAAAGCAAAGTAGTACGCATCAGGGCAATGTTCCCGCGTTCAGCAGGCAGTGGTAATGAGGCAACACAAAGCACAAAGTAGTACGCATCAGGGCAATGTTCCCGCGTTCAGCAGGCAGTGGTAAATGTAAGGCAACACAAAGCACAAAGTAGTACGCATCAGGACAATGTTCCCGCGTTCAGCAGGCAGTGGTAATGTAAGCAACACAAAGCACAAAGCAAAGTAGTACGCATCAGGACAATGTTCCCGCGTTCAGCAGGCAGTGGTAATGTAAGGCAACACAAAGCACAAAGAAATAGTACGCATCAGGACAATGTTCCCGCGTTGAGCAGGCAGTGGTAATGTAAGGCAACACAAAGCACAAAGCAAAGTAGTACGCATCAGGACAATGTTCCCACGTTCAGCAGGCAGTGGTAATGTAAGGCAACACAAAGCACAAAGTAGTACGCATCAGGACAATGTTCCCGCGTTCAGCAGGCAGTGGTAATGTGAGGCAACACAAAGATTTTTTTAAAAGAATAAAAGAAGTATGTGCAAATGTGCAGTGTTTTATTTTTTTTTGGAAATATTTTTTAAATTTTTTTTTAGAATGGTGATGATCTACAAGGGGAATGTTCCCGCATTCAGCAGGCAGTAGTAATTTAAGGCAACACAAAGCAAAGTAGTACACATCAGGACAATGTTCCCGCATTCAGCAGGCAATATACCGATCTATGGGACAGAGCAAGGGTTAGGGTTTGGGTATTCAAAGTAA